ATTGCAGACACTGCCTCTTGCATGGACCCCCTCGTAGCTACTATTTACATCACATCTGGTTTGGACTTGGGTGAGGTACGGCATGGGTAGCCCATACAGAGGCCAGATTAGATATATTCCTGATTCCTACAGTTCTTAAACCACCTCAAAAAAGTTAGACAGGCATCCATGTGGAACCCCTGCACTATACAAACATAATATGTATGATTGAGAATGGTCTGGTCTGTTTCTTCAGACACTGTTGCAGTCCCAACTAATGCACTGCAGCTCAGAGCTCTGTTAAATGTTGAGCATACTTTGATTTTTAGGAGGCTTGCATTGGTGATAGTTTGCCCATGCCTGCTTTCCCTTCCCATCTCTCATCCTCGGCTTTATCTCCTGCCAGCCTTTTAGTAGTGTTGTTGCAGCATTTGAAATGTGCTGTTATGCAGGTTAGCATTCTGAAAGTGATTGCCAGAAACACCTGTACTTAATGTCTGAGCAGAGTGGAAAAACTAGGCAGAAGCTCATGCTGCTAAAAGTACCATGGTTGTGATCTGTTGCAATGACACTTTCGCAAGGTGTAAATGTGATTGCTACAAAGACCAATGGACAGTAAAATGGCAAATAGTGAGGGAACATCCCTGGGGGACGCAGGGTGTAAACAGAAAACCCTATAGTTTGTATAGAAGAACAAGAGTATTCCCAAAATTTAATTATGATACCAGAAAAAAAAATTAAGCATTGCATTAAAATTGTACCAAAAAAGATTGAGTGAGCAATCTGACCTTCACATTAATGAAATGGAAATGTGGTCTGCTGAGCAATTTGAGCTATATATTCATGCTCTAACTGGGGAGTAACACATAAAAATTGGTTGTTGTATACACAATTCCTCAGCCTGATCCAAAGCTGGGACTGTGCACACATAACACTGTAAAATAAGTATGAACAGTGCTTTTTTTCTGGGGAGATGCAGGGGTACACATAACCCTAAACATTTTGTGAATCTAAATTTGGCCTCATTGAGCGGCAGTATTTCAATATGAGTAGGAAAATGAGAGTACCTCTAAACATATTTTTTTTTATAAAAAAAAGCACTGAGTAGGAATAACACCAAGGTATACTCAATGAGAAGTCGGGGTGAGATTTATCCTTCTACCCACCAAGAGAGGTCAGAAACAAGCTAAAAAATAACCTTGCCTGTCTGATGGAGAAATGTAAGAGAGCAGAAGGCAAGCAGAAGCCCAGGCAGACAAAGGAAACTGGCTTGGCAAACACAAAACAACAATGGCCAAGTACATGTCGTATGCATCTAAAATAGATCTCTGCCTTCAGACATTTTACTGGACATGACTGCCATCTTCAGTTGACTGCAACTCAACATAACATCCTGTGGGTGTCTCCAGCCATTCACCTACATTTTCAGGACAGACACCACAGGCCAATTTAAGGTTAAATCAATTTTGGTTCAGCAGTGACCTGTGTAAACTAATGATGAAGACACCTGAAAGTGTCCAGCTTTGAGAGCATGGGTCAAACACTGTTAATACCACACACAATGTACAACTATATGCCGAGCCAGAAGTCTTAGAGGTTAAAGTGATAGAACAGGTTATGTCAGTTTCCAGGATTTACCAAACAGCGCTGACCTGTGTTTGAACTTTAGCTCTCAGTGCTCTTGACCCAAATATGTCAGATGAGGAAAAATCTCACACAAAGAAGCTGTGAATCTCCATCATTAGCTATTCAGCAATACCCAAGTGATCTTTTTAGCAGTTCCCAAGCACACTTACTTCCAAGTAGATGTGTATAGGCTTGGGGTATCATGAAAAAGCCATGTAAAAATGTCACCTTTTATACTAACAGACTGACTTCTATATTTCTGCCATCACTGACTTATAAAGCAGATATAAAGAACAGACATTTATGTGAACCGCGGATATATAGTAATCTACAAATACATGTTTATCTGAAATCACATTAATATTGGCTTTTCTTATAATGTTTAGCTCTTCACATTTCAATCCATCACTGTTTCAAGGACTGTAGGAGCATTTAAGGCTTTGAATATAGGTGTTTCTTTGTTTGTTTCTTTGTTTGTTTGTTTGTTTGTTTGTTGCATTTGCTCACTTCTGCCTTGGCCCCGCTTGCCACTATTTTTCCCCTCCAAATAATGTTGTGCTGTGACATAATCTAAAAAACTTCTCATCCAGCAAAATCCCAGCTTCCACTCTTGTGAGATCTGCCTATATATCTCGAGGTATGCACATTCTTGAGGTAATTCTAATCTGAAATAGTTCCCAAACCACAGGTAGAAACTACAACAGGGAAACCTTTTAAATAGAGATTAATATGGATGCATGAGTTTCTGCCATCACCCATGCATTGCTAATAGACTAATGCAATGCACTCCAAGTGGGGCTGTCCTTGGAGACATCATCTTTCAAGCTTCAGCTAGTATATACTTTTGTGGTCTGTCAGCTGACAAGGATGAGAGTCTGTTTTGGCTTTGCACTCAGTATTAATGTAGGGAGTGCCTCCTTTCTTACATTGCTTATGATCCATGGCTGTGATTCTGCAGGAGGCAAATCTCAACTTTCACAGTTTGGAAATGTAATTTAATAGTTGCTTCTCAAATCTATTCCAACTTGCAGTAGCTGCAAATGTTCCTCTACCATGAACCTTCACTGCCTTTCCTTTCCTAAACATGCTGGTGGTTGTGGCAATAGGCTCTTGAAGCGTCTCCGTTAAGATCTAGACAGTGTTGTACGCATAAACAGAACTAAGAGAACTATTATATCCTGCTGGTTCCACCCAAAACCATGTGGACTTTCTCTTGGTTCTGCTTGCATGAATACTGTTGCAAATATTTGCAGCAGAGTCTAGGCAGGAGGGCATCTATACCCAGTCATCTTCCTAGAGACAAAATCAACTTCAAGGTAAAACTGCAAAAAGTCAAATATTGATCAAATGATCCCACAATTAAATCACTATGCCAAGCCCATTTAGGATTGATAAGGGAAATTGGCTTATTGCTAATTTCCCTCATTTAAAGAAATTAGCTTTGTCGAGACCCAGGGCACACGTTCCTTTCCTGATGAAAAACTCATACTCTAGAATTCCAGAAGGGACAAAACAAATGTAACATAATTTAAAACAGTTTTAAAACAGCTTCAAGTAAATAAGAAAAGCCAAATATCTGATCAAGGAGTTGGAAACACTACTCATTGTCTTCAGCTAACTCTCCTTGGCAAATTGAGGAGACAGAAGAGTCGCAAGACAGCCCAACCAGAAAGTTCATTTTCTTCTTTGTCTGCCATTAATCTTACCTCAGAGAATGGAAACACTCTGAGCAGTGCCTCTAATTAAGACCTTGATAATCAAGCAGGTTCATGAGAATTTGACTCCTGATGAAGGAAAGTTCCAACAGTTGTCTTCCCATTCTCTCTCTCTTAAAAAAAACCCAAAACATTTTACTACTTAGTGGCAAGATTAGAAATAGTAACAACGCAATTATAAGTAGCCAGTCATTATTTTATCATCTTTGTTTTAATTGTAATAATGTTAGTCATGATGAACTTAATATGCAGCTAATGTGGATTTGTATGTACTTCCTCCAGAAGTTCATTTTAATGTTACCATTTTATTCATGTTCAATTATTCTAAAGTGTTGCTGAATTAACAAGATCCACTTAGTCTTAATCACTACTCATCTCACTTTGCAGCACAGACATTTATGCTTATGAGGGCCCTCCAAAGTAGAATGAGACAGGTAATTTGAAATATATTAACTTTTTTAAAAAAAGGATAACAACATGTTCCATCCCATAACCAGTAAACTTTTCACAGCAAACCCGTTAACGGATGAGAGCCTTTTATCATGGCTTTTTCCTGCACCACTTAGTGACACCAGAAATCTCGTGTTCCATTCCACTCACCATTGCTCAGGTTTCCAGAAGAGGGTATGTTGGTGTTGAATGAGCCATGATGTCAGTTGTCCCATTTCCTGTATTGCCACACAGCCTGGGAAGTAGCCAAAGTGCTATAGGTAATTCCGGGAAGCTAGCTGCTTTGGTGCCCAGTGTGGTACACACATCGGCTGGGGCTCCACTTCATTAAGTGGTGCTGCTGGGAGATCCGCCCCTTCGCAGCCCCTCCTGCCTGGTCACGCCCCAGCAGCGGCTGCTCCCGCTGCTGCTGCTGAGGTTGCAGGGAGCCTAGGGCGAGGAGAAGGAGGAGGACGCAGGAGGCAGAAGGGAGAGAGCCGCACGCAGCCCTTGCTGCAATTGACTGGACGGGGCAGCTGCCCTCCAACTTCCTTCCTCCAGCAAAGCAGACGGGGCATGCCACAGAGGGATGGGCGAGGGGAGAGAAGATCAAAGAGATGTGGGGGTGGGGAGCAGCGAAGGGAGTGGGGAGAAATCCAAGAGCAAAGGAAGGAGGACAACTAGGGGGAAGATGGAAGCAACGCGAAGATGGTAGGCAGGCAAGAGGGTAGAATGAAGGGGGATGAAGCCAGAGAAAGAAGAGCCACCCATGGGGGCGGGGCGAGCACTGGCAGAAGAAGAGGGATGCGGGAAGAGTGGCATGCCACGCCCCCAGCACGTACGCCACGCCCCCAGCACGTAAGCCAGCCCTGCCCCCACCTGCTCTCCGACCCCTGGTGCAGGAGCATAAAGCTCCACCACTGGGGGCGAGCCAAGGCAGGGGCGCTGCGTGGAGCCTCTCCACAACCTCCCCCTCAGCTGTAGGGCAGCTGCGGGAGAGGCGTTGGGCAGGCGCCTAGCGCCAGCCGCATTATGTTACGTTTCTGGACTGAACTAAAAAGTTTCGTGAGCCCATTTCTTTTTTAAAAAACGACCTCATATTTTTATCATTTTGTCACCCCCCTCACTGGTGACACCCGGGGTAGCCGCACCCACCACACACCCCTTCCCACACCCCTGCCAGGAAGAAAGCTTTGGTGAGCTTCCCTGTGCCTGTCTTCTGTTTAGCTGTGGCAACACCACATGAGAGGGTTATACATTGTATTTACGTCCATATAAACAAAAGGTGTCACTCTGCAGGGGAAAGTAATCATACCATATGCCACAGTTCCCCAAGATGCATGGGATGTGTTCATTCTGAAATCAAAAGAAACAATTAACTCCTACCCTCTATATATAAATATATTAAAAAGAGAGCTTCAGATTTATGTCATAGAGATTTGCTGAAATTAGTGTATTTCGCTTTGGTCTGCCTAGTTCATTTTGGATATGAGAGCTGGGCTGGGTGAGAGAAAACCAGAAGAGGATTGGAAGGTTACAGCTGATTGCCTCACACATTTAGTATGGCCTCGATGTTATATATTATATGTTTAGAATGCATCCCATGCATCTAAAATAGTGTTACACAACACCCCATCTCCACCCAGTGCGAGAATCCAAGGGCTTACCCCGAGTTTCTGTTTCCTTTGGAACAAGGCGCAGCAGAGACTGTGGTACCATTACAATATATAGTTTACAATATATTACAATATATAGTTTATATACACCTATAAACTACAGTGAAACCTCTACCTGCAACCATAATCTGTTCTGGAGGTTGAAACGGGTTGCTGGGAGAGGCGCAGGTGGTGAGTGCTGCTTCTGCGCATGCACGACTGGCGGCAAACCCTCCGGTTACTTCCGGGTTTGCTGCGGACATTGGGTGAAATGGACGCAAGTGGAGACAGACGTAAGAAGAGGTTTGACTGTACTATAAACAGATTCAAATTAGACCCCAGTGTTTTTCTTACAGTCCCCTTCTCAATATGCCTAATTTGAATTAATCAATTTTAATCTAGCATGTAAATTCTCAAAAATCTCAATTTTTTTGTACAATCTTTGTTCGCAGTAACCAAAATCATGTTATCAACATATACAAGCAGAAAAGTCATTTTCACATTTTGTTGTTTTTCCTCATGAGACATCAGTTGAATTGGACCACATTTTTCAGTATGAATAGGTTGCAAAGGTTCTGTGGAACTTTTCTGGCTTTGCTTGGGGATAGAAGGTCTTGTTCTCTTCCTCAACAAACAACTTCCACATATTTCACTATTCAGGTCAACTTTGCTAGGTTTAATTTCCATTCTTCTCACCAAACCTTTCTTTGGCAGGTCTGCTATAATCCCAAAGCCTCTATTCCCAAGCCTTTTGTGCCACAGATGAACACAGGTTGCACTTGAATTCTTCTTTACCATATTTGCTCACTCTTGAACCGTTTCTAGCACAAAGACTCCATTATTTTCAAAAACCTTGTGCGTACAAAACTCCATCTTTGGTAACTGCACATTTGTTGTGATTTAAATTTACATTAAAGCCACGCTTGGTCAGGGCTGGCACACTCAACAGACTGTCTGATTATTGAAATTGAAAGAGAGTCTGATGTGATGTAAGGAATATCTTGCTAATTGAAGTGAATCTTACAGAGTTAACCTTTAGAACTATAGGACCACTGGGGACTAACAAGGTGCTGTTTCCAATTACTTAAAGAAAATGTTAGAAAATGAGATATTGCTGCATTAATTATGTTTATTGTTTCCTGATAGAGGCAGAGTGTGGGCAGTAGGATTCATATGTCCTATGTTCGATATCTTTTGCAATCCTATAGTGGTTTGCAATCCTATATTGCATGCCTAGATTTTAAAGAGCTGAGGTTACAGTGCCCACTACATATAGGTATTCTGAAGGCTATCCAGTCTTAGATTACAATGCCTCCCAGCTATTAATGTGGGTGGTTAATTAATAGAGTCATCTGCGACTGGACCTAACGGTCAGGGGTCCCTTTACCCTTTACCTATACCTTTATAGAGGTTCAGGCTCTGAAAAAGCTGCTTACAGCCTTCTGGATATAACCAAATGTTCTGCCTGCAATTTATACAGCTGAGAAATACAGTTTCAACAGTCCCCTCTTCATATCAAATTGGATAGTAGAGATATTTAAGAGAGGTTCCTTTTCACTGCTCTCTAGCTCTGAGAATCCTATTCTTTGAAATATGCAGGTTAATCTAGTGCAACATTTTGTTTCCAACTGTAGCATGCCAGATGTTCAATGTTGTCCAGGAAGTCCTCAAGCAAGTCATGACAGACACAGTTCTCTCTTTTTTCTTTGTCTCTGCAGGTAGTGAATATATAAAGCTGGCTTGTACCAGCTGAGACCACAGGTCCTTCTTGACCAGTGCTGTTTATTCTGACTGCCTGGCTGTGTCTTTCCAAGGTCTCATACTAAGTCCTTTCTCTGCCTTGCTATCTGAGATCCTTTTAACTAAAGATACTTGGAACTGAGTAGGGAGATTTCTGCAAAGCATGTGCAGAAGAAAGAGCAGCAGAACTTGAGGAGAGAGCAGGACTTCAAAGGCTATAGGGTTGCCATGGCAGCTGTCACTCCTGTGATTTCAATGGCAATGGGGTGAAAGGGATGGGAGCGCTAGACTGATGGAGTCATTACTGAAGAGCACAGCCAGGTTCCCCTCTTGGAAAAGGTTGTGTGGTAGCTAAACATTCCTCTTCTCCCATTAGATTAAAGAATCTATGGCCTTTTACATGGGGGGGGGGGTTGTTTATGTTTGTTCCTGTGCTAGATATTTTTGTGTTTTTGTTGTGTAAACTGCCCTGTGATCTTCGGATGAAGGGTGGTTATTATTATTATTATTTGCTTTAACTGTGTTCCAGCCTTCTTTGGCAATCCACAAAAGTCTTTCAGGGTCAATGTAAGATGCCTTCTTCTGACCAGGCATTTTGATGACAGGATTTAACCATGGAATTATTTTAGTTGTGTGTTTAGATTGCATGTCCTATGCTTTTTTCTGGATATTTTTAATTCGCTGCCCTGGGCTCCTTTGGAAGGAAGGGCAGGATAACAATCTGACAAACAGTAATAACAGAACCATAGAATCAAAAAGGGTTGGGAGTGAACTGAGGCTGGAATTTCTTAAGAGCCAACTGTCATCTAAAGATGGGCACTTTTCCTATGCTTCATGGTCTCCCTCCAAACTCTTGAATTGTTGTTGGATTGCTGATGTTATGTGGGAGGTATTTGGTTTCTTGAGCTGGGAGAAATCACCAATTAGGGTCCTGACTTTGGTTGGGTGTGCTATGGGTGCTATGAGATCTGTTTCAGTGGGCTGTTTCCAGCCACACTCACTTTCAGTGATCACCAGGATCAGCTCGGAGGCAGGAACTAGGGCAAGATCCTCTGTCAGTTACACTGTAGCCACCATCTCAGTTTCTAGGTAACTGTTGGGGTTCTGACATCTTTGACCTTTTATTAAGACTTTATTAATGATCACTCTGTCACTACTCATCCCAGTATGGCTTCGTGCTCAGGGCAGTTGGATTTGGGGCAGAAAACTGAACCTTAAACTCAGCTATAGAGTTGTTGGAAGGGATTTCACATATCCCTAAATTTCAAGTGAAACTGGATTTAAAGTTTCATGTGTGAGAAAGATTGTAAGGAAGAGAAGCAAGTGGCTGTTTCTGTTTACACTGTGCCTCTTTTACATATCCATTTTATTTGTATTAAGAACACAAGGCCCTAGTAGCATTGGGTGGGTGGGAGTAGAACTTGATCACATTTGTCTGAGGAAATGATTAATTATTCCATTATGCTGCCTTTTGGAATAATGTGCACACTAAAATGCAGCTAAGTATCTCCTAAAGGAGAAAGTAAAACCAAAACATACCAAACTTAGAATCCTCTGGGCTATGCTGATATAGGTGGTTTAGAGATGGAATAGTGATCTTTATCTCATGATTTTACATAATAAATTGATTTTATGACTTTGACCAAGCAGTTTGCCATTAAATACATTCATGGTAAAAGGTTTATTTATCTTTACCAAAATTGCGGCATGATGTTCTTACCAGCAAGGCTGTCTTAGAATCACTGTAGGAGAGGTGTGACCATTTCATCATTCATTACTATTTCAGATGGAGTCACTAGAGCACTGGTAGCTTTAAATGCCTAGAGTAGCCAGCTGATCAGGATTGAGTAGACACCCCTTTGTTCTAAATAGAGCATACTCTAACCTTTAAACCTTGTGACTGCTGTCTTGCCCTGCTTCCTGTGTCTGGGTGACAAACATTGGTTGGGATAATATTTGCCTTGGTTTCTCTTTACAGTGAAAAGTATAGTATATATTGTTATCATTTTCAGCTATGAACTACCAACTGTGCTAAATTATTTGTGGCAACACTTTAATATAGGATCCTATCCAGAAGCAAACACAATATATAATACATTTAAAGCAAATACCTTTGTAGGAAGAATCCTATAGAAAGCTATCTAGTGGTTGACTGACAAAAATGTTTTGGATCTGGGTATGTTGAACAAACCGTGTGATATTTGCATGCTCCTTACTTACACAAAAATGTTCTGAACCACTCAATTCCTCTTGGCTTCAAAGCATAACATATGGTCCCTTAGCCCTGGACACAATTTGAATGGGTCATGGAATGAGCAATAATACATATTTTTGATACATTCCAGTTTTAAACTTCTGAGGTTTAGCCAACATCTATTGTGAAAGATAGAAAATGTTAGCCTATTTTTCATTGGATTTTGATGATGCATCTTATTTAAATTCTCTGGGATCATGCTGTGAAAAATGTTGTCAGTGCAGTGGCAGAGAAGCAGTTGGACCCTAAGCAATGCTCATTGAAGTGAGATAAGACTTTCTCACCTTTCCTCCCATCTGAAATCCCTGTGCCGTCAAAAAGCTTATCCTGAGGATCAGGGGACCATCTTGAACACGGTGGGTTGTTGTATGGGGAAGCTTGTGGGAAGGGGTGAATTGTCCAAAATCTGTTAGGCACCTTCTGTGGGTTCCTCCAACTCTTAGGTACGGTTTTTCAGGAGCCAAAGGAGCTGTGGTGGGGAGGAGGTGATGGAAGGTCCTCTTCTGCCCACTTGCCTTCATGAATGGTTTTTAGGGATCAAACAGAGGAAACGAAGGCATGAAAGAATACATGAAAATATTTTCCCACCAATACATGCACCACACACCCCGAACTTCTATATCAAAAAAATTAAACCCCAAGGAACATGCCAGGCAATATCATATATGGTAGCTGATTAGATACATTGGCCTTTATTCTATTTAAACTATTATTAATAATTCTCAATGTTAATAATACTGTTATTTGTTACTTATGCAAGTTGTTTTTTTAAAAAGTATCTCTCCTTCAATAGCCTTTTTTTTAAAAAAAAAAATCAAATTTAAACCTCTGAGCATACATTTTCTGAGCTATTTAATTGTGTTCCTAAATGAAATACAAGCAAGAGATAATGGTGTATTAAGATTAGACATATTTATATAACTTTAAGGCTATTAAGGCTGTTTAATCCTTATGAGTGACATCAATATGGACCTAATTAGCACAGTTTGCAGCCACTTCATAATTCAAAAGAATGTGATCATTCAGCTGGAAGCACGTTTGACAGAAACTCCATAGTCATGAAGGTAAAAGCTTGCAAAATCACCCACTAGGATGGAGAAGCTGTCATTCTTCCATCAGTGCTGTTGAATACTAATGTCAAGGTCAGACTAGGGTAATTTTAGGCTGCCAAAATATTGCTAGATCCAATACAGTAGTAAATGATAAAGAAAGTAAACTTTGATAAACTTTGATATGGTAAGCTATAAAGTTTGTTACACTGGGGTTTACAGTGTACTATACCTAGACAGAAAGAAAAGGCAAAAAAATAATAATTCATAGTATGCCTCCTTAGATTATTTACGAACACATACTTTTAAATGCTTTTATGAAACATTATGCAACCAAGCAGATAGTTAACTCCTGTTGCCATGACTGTACTATAAAATATTGACTGTATTGTGGAAATTTAAAACATGCTGGTTACTTATTAGTTTAAAATAGGCAGTCTTTAAAACAACAATTGCAAACAATGTTCAAAGTATACATAATTCTTTTAAAATTACTTTCCTTAACACAATCTTATATCCCAGTTTCACAGACTTTCCACACAATCTTATATCCCAGATTCACAGACTTTCCACATAAGCACTCTTTCACTTCACCTCCAGGAACATGTTTGTTTTGTTTTATAAAACCATTTATCTTGCTTTTGATTCCCAAAAGCAACCTCAAGGCAAGCTTTCATAATAGTCAATCATGAAGAAAATATAAGCAAACAACGAAGTGTATACAAATATTCTAGCTATGTGGACAGGGCTGATCATGTGTGTCTTTCCAAACCAACCAAAACTGTTCTGGGAGGTAGAGTGGTAATCAGATTGGAATGACTGGCGCAATCAACTCTGCCAACAGACTACCAGTATTCACACACACTTTCCTAGTTGCATGTAATTGCACCACAAAAAAAGGTCTCCCACTGCTGCTGTGTATGTGGAAGGAAAAAAGTTTGTTTGACACGAAGTTAGAATTAAGACTCCTCATTATGGAGAAGTGACAATTTCCCATGTTGGGCAAAAAATTCCTGCACTGCAGGGGGTTGGATTAGATGATCCACATGGTCCCTCCCAACTCTACAATTCTATGACAAAATATTTTGCACCCCAGAACTCACATTATGTTAATATTATAATCCTGGCTAAAGTGCAAAGCTGGCATGCAAACTCTTACATGCAAGAAGGCAAAATATTACATTTCTAGAAATATGACATTAGATTTTTGGCAGATTTGTACTGTTCCACATTTTGACTCAGACCTTATCCAGTTTAGATTTAACCTTTTCCTAGCAGCACAGAAGAAAAAGTCCTTGTGTATTTTATGTTATTTTGATTATGAAGAATTGGTACACTAATTTGGATCCATCAGCATGGCATGGGAAATGTTCCATTAATAGTTAAGGATTTTGTAATAAAAAAAAATCAATAGTTGTTTAAATTTTCATCTAAAGCTGAGATTTTAAAGAGAGAAAAGCCAGCTTCCACTGATATTTTATACAGTTTAAATCCTGGAGATGGCTTTTTTGGAGCCATCTCCCCACCCCCACCCCACTTCCATAAAATGCTTCCTCAGTTTTTGATTGATTTTACATTGCATGAATATGTCAATGAGGAGTTGCAAAGAATACCTCAGTAGGATTGCTTTTCATATTCACATACAGCTTTGAAAGATGTCTAAAATGACATGTTTGCAGTAAAATATACATGGCCGGGTGAACTTTCCTGGTCCTATCTTGCGCCTCAGTAATTCTAAAACAGAATCTGAAGTCTTTGTTCTGATAAACTAGACGTTTTTTTAAAAATATATATTTAAATGAAATATTCAGAGACTCCATACACACACAGCAATGTATTCTTTCTCTTCTGGCCCATGGTTAACTTTCATTCATATTAATGTGAGTTAGGAATGTGCCTTAGGCAAAGACCTCTATTATTCTCATAACCTTTCTATTTAATATTTGTTTGGCTGAATTCATGTTACTTAGCAGACTAGAAATTGTAAATGTGTAGAATCCTTTGCATATTCATACTACTGGCGAGTGCTGCATCAAGCTTGCTGTTGGGGTATAGTCTTTGCTTTAGCAATGCTAAGTACCCCATGTTTATGCTGTGTCTGTATATATTCTCTTTAGTTACTAAGAAGGTCTTCCCCAAGCATATACTTGCCAGCTATTTTGTACTGCAGCTCCAATTATCCTTGCTTATTATCCTTGCTTATTGACCATGCCAGTGGAAGCTGAAAGAAGTAGTAGTCCAAAACTTAGAGGGGACTTCTGGAGAAGTGAATCATTCTGCAAGCAAGTTCAGGAGCATCAGATTCAGTTGGTCCACTGCAATAATCATATTCTTCCAGCTGGTAGAAGCTAGCAAAGTGCCCACAGCCTGGTGATAAAGGAAGGGGCTCTTTTACTTCCATCTGAAGCACATGGATATATAAGCCACTTTCTTCAGCCAGCACAGGGAAGAAGTGACAGTGGAAGGAAATGAAAGAGATATAGTGGGCAGGTGTAAAATGAGTTTGAAGGGATCTAGTCTAACTCTCTGCTTGGTACAGGAAATTCAGATCTAGATAGCCCCAACATGGCGGTTGAGCCTCTGCTTCAAAACCTTCCACTGGAGAGAACCCACCAGCGCATTAAGTTATTGGTTCCATTACCAAATTATTCTTACCATCAAGATGTTTCTCCCAATGTTTAGTCAATATTCAACTGGCTAGTAAGTCTGCATGCTTTGTTGAGGCTTCCCCTTTTTCCAAGATAAATATGTTTCTTGCTTAGGCAAGAGAGAGCAAGCTGTGGAGGCAGGATGCAATCCCTAATTTGAATCAGGACATGTTGCAAGGGGACAGAACCTGACTCAATTTGGCACCACCCTATTCAAAAGGAGCAGGTTAGCAATTGAAGGCACAGCACAGATAGTAGTAGTAAGGTGATTCTGTGGCAGAGGCCACCAGGAAACCGACCTCCCCAGACAAAAAAAAAAACAAAAAAAAGCAAGCCAGCACTAGAACATTTAATTCCTGCCTTTGAACAGCATTTGGTGGTAACATTCAGCAAGTGAACAAGATGCCAGGTTTAGTATATAATGCAGTTTTGAGTCCTGACAATTAATAGTTCACACAAGTGGAATTAACTGAAAGAGCTGTATGTAAGTTGGCCAAAAACAAATAAATCAGGAATACCGTGTGTGTGTGTGTGTGTGTGTGTGTAACAGAGTTAAAAACATATCTATAAACAACCACTCGGTTGATAAAGTCGTAGTCAAAAATATTAGAAAATTAACCATATGTTGATAACACATATCCTTTGATTTCTTCTCTACGCTAAGAATTCTGTATCAACATGAATTACAAGCTTCCTTACTTCAAATCCCTTCTCAATAGCTACCTTGTTCGCTCCCAACCCCCTAGTTCTTGTCCCATGCCCCACTGCAGTTAAGTCTGTGACCAAGCTTAAATAAATTTGTCTAAAACAATCACATATTTTTTCAGTGTTTATCCCTGGATCCACTTACCTCTACTTTGATAATTTTGCAGTGTTGAATTTTAGGTTGCAATGTCCTAGGATATAGCACTCTTGTATTCTGTAAAGAAGGGGAAAGGAATCTATGGTCATCCATATGTTCTTGGACACCAACTCTCATCAGCCCCAGCCAGTGTCGTCAGTGCTCAGGGATGATGAGAGTTGGGGGTCTAGCAAAATCTGGAGGGTCACAGATTCCCCATTCCTACTTTAAAGTGATGGTGTAAAATCAATGCAGATAATGTGGCATTCAGCTGTAACCTTTTATGGTGGCAAGTGGAAGTGTCTTTTTGACACCACTGATCCCCAGATTCATTCATTCTGAGTGGATACAATTATTTTTAAAACAAGCTGCCTGCTGCCGTTTATGGCTTATCATTCTTCCTTAAATCATAATGACTGAGGAATTTAAACATATAAATATTGAGTAAACCTCCAGGTACTTTTTAGTGACAGATATTGTTTTGGAAAGGCAAGTTTTCCTATCAGTAATGCATAGAAGCTTCTTATTTCACAGTAATTGTTGAAACGTGTGCAATTTGTGTGCATTTATTTTTCTAAGTGTTTAAACAAGTTGGTGTAAATGATATCCTGGGACCTTAATGCATGTGGATTATAAAGGATTTAATGCATCATGCTCCTTTGGAGTGTTCTTAAGACGTATCAATGTCGTTTACCACTCTATGCTTAATTACAATGCTAAGAGTGTGCCATACAATAGGGCAATTTAATAACAACATAACCACATTAGATGGCAGTTTCTTATTGGAAGTGAAATCCTGCATTTCTGAACTCTCCACATTTACAGCACCTTAACCATTTGTTCTATGCTCCATTACATATGCTACTACTCACCTTCTATTATATTATTGTAAACCTTTACCTACACTATATAACTGGTCTGCAATGGCCTTTCTGCAATAAAGCTACATTTTGCTTGTATTGTTTTGTAATGTAAACTCAACAAGCTCATATTCGGGGGACTGATAAGTGAATGTTCACACTTCTGAATAAGAGGTAGGGCAAAATGAGCTCTGGTCTTGCCCGCCTCTACAAACCTGTAGTTTATTAAGCTGAACAGCTACACATTGTTCATAGCAATTAAGTATCCACACTTCCTTCCTTACATGTGGTTTTATATGTATATGTACTTTTGCATATTGAGGTTTATAATGTATATATGCTGCCAATACACTTCTTCCAGAATGTCGGCGGATCTTTCTCAAGCTTGCCTATCATATTTTTATGTACATTGGCAAATCCAAGTTCCTTGGAAAGGATGTAAAAGTAGAAGGCTGTTCTGCTTTTAAAGCTACTTGTGGTTCAAGTTTAAAGTTTTCAATAATTTATTCCCCATCAAGTCTTGTCTAAGTCTAAATTGGTAAAAATATTATAGCATAGATGAATGCCTGACCTTTTCCCATGGTACACTTGATAGCAGTTGTTTATATGGAGAGTAAAATCCTGATCAATCTGACACTTACTACAGACTTCCTGCTGCTTAGAAATGTGTACTGTAATAGCATTTGTATGTTTTCTTTCCTCCCCTAAGGTTTCAGATTCCTGCTTCACAAGAGCACAGCAAATTAGAAGAAGCAGCCTAGTCACTATAAGAGAAATGAAGTGATTTGACAATTTGTACGCTGTTTTAACCTGAATCCTATGTATCCACAATTAGTTGCATTGGTTGGAAGCAATCATGTGTGTGTTTGTATCTCTCTGTTTGTGGTTATTTCACAGTTCTTAACACAACTGTATACAATTAAATAAGCTTGACCTTTCCCCTCTCACCAACAAGGCCACAGATGCCGAAGAACTATGTTCTTAGGCTGCTTGAATTCCAAGATTAAAAATTGATCAGATTGTGTAGGGCAGAACTGGTTGAATTCAAGCATACAATATAATTGGGAGGAAATGGTTACCTATTTAGTAGGCCATGCCTAGTAACATAACTCTCTCTAAAATCATTTCACTCCTTAGAATGTTCTTTGCGGCTAGAGGGTGAAAGATAATCAATTCCCCCAAATGGGAAAACATTAAAAATAAAATAAGAGGTTTTGAGTTTAGAGATAATAGAAAAACTCAGATTTTCATGCTTCGAGACTTAGCCTTGCAGATAGGCAGCCAAAGGGGATTAACATAGGGAGAAGAGCCAGGTCAATTAAGTGATTTCTTTTCTATGCCAAATATACAAAAAGCACAAGAAATTATTTTAGGAGATAGGGAAGGTGAGTCTGTGTTACTGATTTGTGTTTTATATTTTACCTGGTATTGGAAGGCGAAACCAGAGGTGGACAATCCACTGTGCAGCTCACAGTCTTCCTGAATGTGACCTCTGCTCCCCTCCAAGCGTAACACATTCCTTGCTGGTGGATAGATAGAAAGAGATGGGCTATGAACAGTTTTGTCACTCTAAGCCCCGCACTGCACCTTTTTTCTTTTTCTTTCCGAAGAATGCCATTTTTCAGACAGAAGCCACTGAGTGTGGTGGCTGGAGTGGAGAGAGATGTCTGTGACCAACTTCTTGGTCTTTCAGAAGCCTGCCCAAGAAGAGAGAGAACAGCCATTTGAGAACATGCATCTAAACCTGGCTTTCAAGCCTTCCCCTTTTCTGGAACTTAGGGGGCCATCACTTCTTGCCTGAGCAGAGAAAGAAAAGTCTTAGAAAGCACCCAGATTCTTAAGAGTAATACTGACTGGGTAGTAATATTTAGGGCAGGGAGGACAGATCATGCTGGTCCATGTCAATTTCTCATATGCTCATCCCTAAATCCATACTGTCCTGTTATCACATGTACCAGCATTTTATTTTTTAAAAAGTTCCAGCCGTATTCTAGATTCAGGTAGATAGCCATGTTGGTCTGACACAGTTGAAATATACAAAAAAATTAAAAAAATTGTCCAGTAGCACCCTAGAGACCAAATAAGTTTGTTCTTGGTATAAGCTTTCGTGTGCATGCAAACTTCTTCAGATACCTCTGGCATGCACACAAAAGCTTATACCAAGAACAAACTTAGTTGGTCTCTAGGGTGCTACTGGACAATTTTTTAATTTATTTTTATATATACAGCCGTATTCCGTTACCGAATACATCTGAAATGTTTTTTATCATACATTGTTTCGGGAATTTTGTATATTTTTTAGCCAAAAGCTATTTTGCTAAATTTAGAGAAGTGAGAAATCTGAAGGATAATCACATGTTTATTTGCATGTTAGAACTAGTCATTGTGGATCAGGTCCCCTTACATTCACAGAAATCAAATTTCTTGAGCATTCCTAGCCCACTGCCAGCTTGTTTACAAAGGAATGTAGACCCTGAGGGGGGAAACCATTGCCCACTCCTGAAATACCCATAAAAATATAATTATGACACCTTCTGTTGCCCTTCCTTTCAAAGAAAGGTACATACTATCATCTATATTTAGAAAGAAGGAAATGAAGGCTTTTTACGTGTGTGTGTGTGTGTGTGTGTGTAACATGTAATAATCATAATAATCAATAATATATTATTTATATGCCACCCATCTGACTGGGTTGTCCCAGACACTCTGGGCAGCTTCCAACAAAAAATAGTAAAACACAAAAACACAACATCATACACTAAAAACTTCCTTGAGCAGGGCTGCTTTCAGATGCCTTCTTTTAAAAATTGCATAGCTGTTTGTCTGTGGGCTTTTTGAAGCAGAATCTCTCCATCCACTTAACCAGGTCACACATACTTCATGCAAGCGTGAGGACCCTCAGGTACAGGAGAAGAATACAGAGCTGCCGGTCTCTCTGTCTGACCTCTCTACTCTCCCCCACCCAAGATCAAGGACTCCCCAAATGTTTTTGGTTGGCTGGAATGTATCCTTGAACTCTGGTAATGCCTCTTGCCTGCCCAGATGGAGGATAAAGAAGAGTGTGTGAATAGAAACTAGCCTACTATGCTGAGGTAAAATTTAAATTTGTTGCTCCACCTACTTTTGCTTTTGGCCCCACCTACTACTCTGGCATGTGACCTTTGGAAGGTTGCTCAGAAGGGGATGCGGCCTTCAAGCTGAAAATATTTTCCCACTCCTGAGGTAAATGTACCAAATAACACTATTATATATAAACCAATACAGAAAAGGTTACAAAAGAGCCCTGAGGTAAATGGTTGTAAGCCATTAAATAAATGTTTTGAAGTGCTGTCATCTTTGTGGCAAAGCTTTTAGAATTGGAATTTAACCCCGTCCTGACTGAACAATTTTTTGTCAGGAGACGTTCTTTTCTCACTCCTGTTTAACCAAAGTTTTGTTACAACCCAGGTTTCCACGATAACCTTTGAGTGCCTCTCTTTTGGCATTTTGCAGGCTTGTATTCTGAGTCTGAGACTCCTGGGAAGAAAATTTAACTGGGATGCTCAAGCAGAGTTTTTCTGTGAGAAGCACCGCAACAGAAATTCCTCTCAGACTTGCTTATTGTTGCAGAGAGAGCCTTTGTAATTACCAAGGGATTAGGGCAGAATATGAAAAGTCTTGGAAGAAAGCAGCTTTCTTGCAGATCAGGAATGTGTGCTGCACAAAATCAGCCGGGTTAGTGAGGCAGAAGTGTATTAAAATGCTAAGAGTTCAAGGAGGAGGTCCTAGTGAAAACTCCTAATTAAAGAAATAAAAAAGAAGGTTTCTAAAGAGTGCCAGAGATTATGTCATTTGATTTCTCCAGGAAGAAAAGGGGTCTTTTGAGGATTGCAAATGAGATGACAATGCTGCGCCAATACAATGGACTTATCCCCTTTCCACAATAAAAGTAATGAAAACTGGGCTTAATGGTACATAAATAAAAATAATTAAATAGAAGATAGTGGTAGTGGTACATTACCTGAATTAATATACAAGATTAAGAGGCCAATAACCCAGAAACAACTTACTTTCTTGATCTTTTATATAAATTAATCCAGCCTTTTAGGCATCAATATGATCTTACACCACACTGAGTTACAACAGTGCTGTATCATTTTATTAAGGGCATAAACAAAAATATTTTTAATTAAAGAAATTGGTGACAAAACATTAGCCAGTGTCTAGATTTGTGGCATACCTCTTCAGAATAGGAATGGGGAAGAATTTTGGTTCAATCCACAATTTGGAGTGAACCCCCCTGCCAATCTACATCTGACAGATCATGCTCTGATCAAAGCACAGACAAGTGGATTAGATTGCATGTATACCCCCCCCAAAGGTACATGCCATCATTTTCTCCATACCATCATCCAGGTAGGGATGTAAGAAGACATCATTTCTGTTCCAACCTGTGTTGTTCACATGCATTGCTGTTTTCATTCTGCCGCAGTTCAGCTTCCAACAAAAACTGCATTATTTGTCTCACTGTGACCTGTTATGGAATTTTCCATAATAAATTACATTCTTCAATACCATTTATTTCAGCGCAAAGGAAACACAATGCAAATTGTGGTGAGGTGGAGAGATCAATTATATATTGCTTTTACTCTGAAACAACAGTGAATATTAGACATATATCCTGGATATTGGACATATATCCTGGATTGATAACAGTTTTTTAAAAATAAATAAATAACCAGGGAAACCCTCATAAGTTCTCCAAAAACAATTTAATTTTGTTAAAAGCATGCAGACTTTTTAAGGATATTTCCTTTTAAAAATCCACGTGAACCAGGGTTGGATTTGATGATCTACTCATGTGCAGGGAACACAGACTGGATTAGGACTCTTTTATCCATTCGTACTTCAGAGTCTTTAGAGTTAGAGAGTCACAGTAAAGTGGTTTTGTGGCAGAGTGCAAATGTATATGAAGAATAATAATATTAGGAAAATATAATCCTATTCTGAACACACACAAATACACAAGAGTATATTTCATGTTTCAAGTGGAAACTGGTTATGTTAAATAAGTCAGAAAAGTATAACATTTCACATCTGAGCTCTATTCTGAAATGCATTGCTGGTTTTTATGTGTCTGAACCTGTCTTGGAGACATTTTCAAAATACTTATTCCAAATAGATTCTTATGCAAGCTGGTTCTATAGATAGCCGATATGAATATTATTCAACCTGACTACAATGTCATAACACTGTTTATTATTTGAAGATGCAAGCGTAAGCTTACAGGGAAGTAACTCCCATTGAAATAAATGAGAGTCACTTATGAGTAAACATGTTTAGGATTGCAGGACAATACTGTTTACTTTGACTAGAAACAGATGTTATAGAGAACGCATGGCAGCTGCAGAAAACTACAGCTCAGCCTAATGCTTATCTGGTGCTCAGTAACATTTCTTTTAATACAGTGGTACCTCAGGTTAAGTACTTAATTTGTTCCAAAGGTCCATTCTTAACCTGAAACTGTTCTTAACCTGAAGCACCATTTTAGCTAATGGGGCCTTCCGCTGCTACCACGCCACCAGAGTATGATTTCTGTTCTCATCCTGAAGCAAAGTTCTTAACCCAAGGTACTATTTCTGGGTTAGCGGAGTCTGTAACCTGAAGCGTATGTAACCTGAAGCGTATGTAACCCGAGGTACCACTGTAATACAAAGCATATGATGTGATGTCATTGTACTCTGAGGTTCTCTGTCTTTTCAAGCAATAGCTAACAAAGTGCAGCACAATGGGAAAGCAAAGACTGCAATGTTGTCAAATCTAGGTAAAGGATGACGTTTTGGTGATGCTTGAATCTGGGATGAACCCATGGTTTCCCATGGGGGTGTTCCAGTTTGAACAAACAGAAGCCTGATCTTCTAAGATAAAGCTGCCATTGGATACAACCCTTTGTAATTATGAAATGATGTTGTATTGATATGTATCATTATTCCTAATACTTTTGTCAATAAGATCAAACGTTAAGTCAGGCAAGGGGCACCAGGATATTGCTGGACTATGGTTTCCATCATCCCTGCCCCCCACCCATGCAGGGGTTGATGGGATTTGGAGTCCAAAACATGACAGGCACAGTTCCCACCCCTGTTTTAAATTATGTAAGAAATCTGCCATAAGACTTTTCCTGCTCTAGATCAATTCTACTCATTTTCCCCACACTTTAATATGTTTCTCCCCCACAATTGCCTTGCATAACACTTTTCTTTTTAGCTATCTTAAATTGCCTGTCTTATTGAAGAAAGGAATGCATGCATACAGCCACACTTTGCAAAAACAAATATGTTGTTATTGCAGTCAGCTAGACCACATAATGTATATCATATTAAGTACTAACTTAATTTTTAGGGATGAGTGTCCTGTACAATTTGTAGCACTGAATTCCTTGAGGAAACTCACAGCCCAGCTGCACATGGATGGATACTATTTGTTTTAAAAGATTTATCCCTTGCCTTTGCATCAATTAATGTTCAAGATGGCTTACATATAAATAACGTTAAAATAATACAAAAATAGATGTATTAAAACTTTACCAAACAGCCCAGTAGGGAGCAGCTAAAACAATAAAACAATTTCCCTTGTGATCAAAAGTTTGAGAAAACAAACAGAATTAACCTATTAATTAATTTGTTCAGACAGAACTCAGATAAGTAATGAACCCTAGAGCCGATACCACATAGCAGAAGTTGCTTTATCGAGACAGTATTTCTCACTGTACTATTGTCAGTTTTACACACACAGACCAATTAAATGAGCAAGTCAATATATATTCTGGATGTACGTTCAGCAGAAATATATACTTTTCGTTTGGTTTATGTTGCATGTTAGTGGCACTCCTATATTGCACTTAGTACTTATGAAATAGAATTAACTCTTGTCTGATTCAAGCTACCTGTCTCTTGCATTAAATCATAACTTGCAGAGTGTCAGCAAAAGGCCACCTCTTGACAAAAAGGTCATTTCAGTAACAGTGCTAGGTGTTTGAAACACTTCTTTTGACACCAGAGTGCGTTAATTGTTCATGGAACCCTTCCCCTTTCAGTGTTGCTTTAAGGCATTCTGGCTCAGCTTAAAGTCAGTCAAGCAAAATTGGAGCATCTGGTTGCCGTGTCAAAATAGCATAGGCAACTTCAGTGTAGCACCCTAGTGGATAATCTCAACTCAGAATACAAACAATATATTAGTGATTGCCAGGAGGCTACAGTTCCTATTCCTTTGAAATAAGTTGGAAAAAATTATGCACACAAACACACAAATGTAAATTAAGCTTATCATTTTCTCTGCCCTATTCTGGCACTTCCTGTTTTAAATAGTTGACCATTGCTTGGAAATTCATTTCATTTAACTCATTTTCAACATATGAGTTAATTGTTTTGCCATTTATATCTCTTTAATATGTAATTTAAACATACACTTTAAATTATATGATGGGAGCATGAAAATGAGTGTCACTTAGAACCCATGCATCACTTTAAAAAGAAAAAGAAAAAGTTGTGTGGTGGTTTAGTACTAAAGTTATTAATATTACAAGTGATTGAAACTGGTGGTAATTTCTGTGGCTGCTTTGCTATACAGTATTATATCAATTGCTTAAAGATTGTCCACAAAACCTCACTCCGGCTTAATGGTTTACAGTAAGTAATAGGTGATCCTGTACAAATTCATATTGTGTTTATAGTGTTCATTTGTATGTTAATGGCTTTTAGGGTACAATTCTGCAAAATGAAATGATTAAATACATGCCACTTACTTCTTAGAGAGAATAATTCAAATTCTATTACTATTTGTCCTGAAATGGATGCAAAATAATACTGTCAGAAAAGCACATATGACATCTGACAGTAGATCCAGACCTAACCCCCAGGGCAGATTACTCCTGCCCCAGGCAGGAATAGTCTATGCATAGCACCAGGTCAGCAGGTCAGGCAGTATAAATGCTTAAAGATTCTAAGCTTATACCACCTCATATCTGTCCCTGCCTCAAAGTGCTACCTCCTGTGGTTCTGACACAAGTGACCTCCTGAGTGTATGCCTGTGCTGTGGAAGTTAGAGGAAAGATTTTTCCCCTCTGACTATACACATAGGATATGATTTTTAAAGGAAGTTGCCATGGCCTGGATCTTAAATCAATGAGAATACTTTTCAGTCAGTCAGTGAGAAAAGAGTTAAGCATATGATGGATGTTTGAAAATTCATTTCATAGCACCAGAGGATGCAGTCCTGACTTAGTATTTATTAATTAGCAGAATTTGGCTTTGCTGGGTTTCATTCTCACCCCACCCCCAGAAAGACGTTGCTTCAGCAGTGATTTAGAGGAGACTCTGCTTTGTGGCTTTCAGCCAGCACCCAATGTCAGCAAGTGCTTACATTTGCTTCCACGCTCCATTCTTGCACTCCTGTGCAGGTAGCCAGGCTCTCTACCGTCAGCCCTGAAGTCTATACCTGATTCACCATCGCCTTTGCCACTACTTTGTATCTGCATTAGTTTATGTTACGGTTACCAGATGTCCCCGGTTCCCGGGGACAGCCCCCGGATTTACCAATCTGTCCCCAGACAAAATTCATCTCCAGAATGTCCTCGGATTTAAAGTAATGTCCCTGGATTAATCATATGCCTGGGCACTTCCAGACCCTCCCCAGAGCCAGAAGCAATCATCCACTACAGCTCCAGAGAGGGTCTCCTCAGGAGACGGAAGTGCAGCTGGGCTTTGCTGCAACTCTCCCACCTATCAGCTGACATTCAAAAAGAAACCTCCCTCTCTGTCAGCTCTGCAAACAGCCCTGCTCCTCCTGCTTGCTTGCTTGAGCCAGAGAGGCAAGGCTGCTCTTTGGACCTGCGGAGCTGAGGTGTAGGGAAGAAGCCTCCCTGCATGACATCTCTGCAAGCTACCCTGTCTCTCCTGCTTGCTCATGAGAAAGAAGGAGACCTTTTCATGCCTTTAAAGCCCCCTTTGCTGCATTCTGCCTGCTTGTGAGCTGAGCTACCAAGCTGGCAGAAAGCAGGATGCTGCCTTGAGCCTTCCCTTTGCTCTCCCAGACAGAAGCTGTTGCTTCAAAGTTAAGGGGGGGGGGAATTGTCTTGCCTCATTTGCTCCATTCTGCATGTTTGTGAGCTATATTGGACTGCCTTCCCTTCCTCCCTCCTCTCTGTGTTATTGTCTGTCTCCCCATTTTTTTCTCCTTACCCATAAAACTCTTCCAAATTCTCCCTTTGTCTTTTCACACATTTGGTTCCCCAACCCTATACATCATTATGTGCTGCTGCTACACTAGCAAAAAATAAAAGGGGAGGAATGCTTTATGTTTATTTTGGGGGTGTTTATGTTGGTTCCCCCTAAAGAGCTTTCCTGTTCCCTTCTTATTAAAGAATGAACCTTAAAAAAATTAAAACGAACCTTTAAAAAAATTAAAAGAGGCTACCTCTGCTTGCTTGCCTCCCTCCCCTTCCCTTTGATAAAAAGGGAGAGATTGGTAGGATGGGGCTTGGGGGGGTATCTTCTGTGTCACAATAGGAGCAGGGAAGCCTTATGTTCTTTTAAATTGTGGCTGCTCTTGTTGAGGTACCTCCATTGCAGGGGGTTGGCCTAGATGCCCCTCAGAGGTCCTTTCCAAATCTGTGATTCAGTGATCATCCCACAGTCATATTCTCAAACTTGGCTTATGTCTGTGCAGGAGACACCCACAGGTGGGCAGGGCAGCAGCAGAAGGAAGGGGTTTCTGCTAACGCTTACTCCTGAGTAAGTCTGTAAGGGATCGCAGTGCAAGGTGGGAGAGGGAGGGAGTGGAAACATGGCTAGTGCTCCAAGAAAGCAGGCTGGGACCCAGAGGAAGGCCAAGCAACAGAGGTGACCACAGAAGAGAAGATATTACTTCTTAATTTTTTAAAATAACTTTACACACACACACACACACACACACACACACACACACACAATTTATATAAAGTGTCCCCGGATTCATTGAAAAAATCTGGTAACCTTAGTTTATGTAGGCTAAACAAAATATCTGGAAAAGGCTTTATTTTGTGCAGAATTCAAACACAGGCTGTTTAATTGTGGGAAATGGCTCTTCCACGAGCAGTAGTCAGCTACCACAAGAGGAAGATCTTTGAATTTCAGCCTAATAAATACACAGATTTTGTCTTTAATCTGCTAGTTATGTGTTTTCATATTGGGTAATCACTTATGTGTTTTTCACAAAACATTTTCCTTATGTATAAAATGAGGCAAATGACAGCTGGGTTCTCTGGAAATTATTTTATGCTTAGACTTGAAAATACATGCCAAAGATTATTGTGTAAATAAATACATTTCATTATTACCACTAAAAAGCACGGATCTCTGGGGTAGAACATGGCAACTTTTTAATTGCCCACAGCAGGACCACACAAGAGCTCAGGACAGCATGTGAGAGTGGATATTAATGCAACTGAAATTAGCAGGAGAACTTGGTGTATTTTCGAGAGCCATATGATCATTGCTCCCGAGAGTCATTAGGGAAATTCAGTGAGTTAAATAGCTCCCTTTTGTAATGTAATTGGACTAGGGATTTTCTCATCTGAAAAGCTGGAGCAGCAAAGGTACCATGTATGAGTTAATACTTTTATGTGTTAAAGTGTTAAGTGTTGTGAAGTATGTCTCTGACATATATAGTCAAGATAGGCTGAGTATGGAATAACATTATGACATTAATACACTAGTAATCCATACTCTTTCTTGAGACAGTGGTGGAGTGTGTTGCAGTTTATGCCCATGAATGGAACGTTGGCACCCATCTGCCATTCTTTCTACCTGCTGAAAAGTAACTTTTAATGAACTGGACATAAGAAAAATTGCCCAGACCAATGGAATAATACTGGTTTTAGGAAATTGAAGATGGCAGATTACCGCAGATTAATGTCCTCTCAGTACATTAATTATACCACAAAATATCATTTACTAATAGTGAATTTTGTGATTGGCACATGATTACCCTACATGCTTACCAAAAGGCAATAGCTCACGATTATGATCAGGATGTAATCTGTGTGTGTGTGTGCGCGCGCGTGCGTGCGTGCGAACGCAAAACTTAAAAGTCAGCTTGGAAGAAAGAGAGCACAACTGCCAGGAAGAGAAGAGAGTTTCTGTTCTCCTTATCTCCCCATTTTCCTTTCTTCCAGGCCATACTTGATTGTAAGGTTTCCGGGTTCAAACGTACCTGGGAATTACAGAAATTTAAATGGAAGGCCTGCCCCTCTCCCAGTGAGTGGCTGCTAGCTTCAACTAGGAACTAACTAAATAGGAAAAAGTGACCGGTCCAACACTGGGGGGGGGGGGGTTTACAGACTACTTTCTGCCCTCTTTAGGAAACCAGATGCCAAGGCCAATTGTTTAGGCACTAGTGGCACTGGAAACTTGGCAGTTTGCATTCCTATTTGTAATAGAACTGTCTAAGAAACACCCATCATCTCTTTCTGTTGGCCATGCTGGTTAGGCCTGATGGGAGCATCATTCTATTCTTTTCAGATTGTGTGGTTTGTGAGAGTGTGAATGCTGCTGTACTGGACGATCCAAATGTATTCCAACAGGAAATTGTCAGTTCGTTGTTATCAGAGTGGCCATCAAATTTTAGCTAAGGTGAACTTTGGAGTTAATCTTGGAGGTTGCTACCTCAGTGAAACATCTAAGGAATTTGGGGGAACGGAGAAAGAGCTTCACCAAGATTAACAAAACTATAGGGGAAGTCTCCTATTTTGAACCCACAGAAAATTGTAATGAAGGTGTGCCAAGACTGTCACCTGCCTTTCATATTCACATTAGGATTTGTGGGTTAGTGAAGAAGTTGCCTGTGCAGTGGGACTACATTTTCAATAGAATTTCACTTAGAGTGAAATGAAGTCAAATGTTGAACTTTTTGCTTGGAAGAATGAACGGAGAAATGTTGAGTGAAGTTAAAAGAATTCCAGAGGGACTAGCAAAAGATGTGGGTGGCAGATATACACATAACACTAATGGTTACTTCATTCTTTCCCTTTCAATGTCAGCTTTTGAATTATTCTTGTAAGAACATGCATCTGACACTTCATTTGTATGGCTCTGACATTACAGTTCCACTTCTACTATATTGATTAGTTTGCAACATGTAAAAGGATGATATTTTTGCTGTGCAGGAAAACAAGTGCTTCAAGTACTTACTCACTATGTATTTCTCAATGATGGGCACCATTGTTTTTGTGTTTTTGTTTTTTTTTATTTCGGTGAAGTACCACAAGCAGCATGCTAGAGGCCTCCTTGCAAAACACCAAAGAATTCCCTGCTCCACTTACTCACAAAGAAATTGAGAATAAAGTCCTTGACTTAAGCATAGATTCACTTTTATTACTTAAGCATTGTAGTGGAGTCATAATTGCAGAAAAGAGCATTTCAATAGCTACTTAAAAACCGGATTTTGTTGCAATCTCAAAGAAGATCCAAGGACATACACTTTGAACACTACTTGAGTTTTCCATTATGGTTTGATAATTAGGTTGGAAAGAAGTTAACCTTGAAAAATCTACTGAAAAATATTATTCTTTAAGTTTGGCCTCTATTGAGAGAAGTTGTAAGGGGTAGTTGCTAGCATTGTGAGCTGTAAGCCATGAAATCCCTGGTTCAAATTTCACCTCATATTTGAGCTCATTGGATGTTGTGAGCAAGCCGCTGCACCAGCCTGGTTTTCCCATCTGTGATATACAGAGATGGGAATCCCTCCCTCCATTGATATACCTTAGATTGGCAGGCAACTCTGCCTTTAGTAGCACAGGACCTTCTATCTACTCTGGTGTACCCAACCAGTTTATATCTGCTGCAGTTTATCCTTTGTTTAAATTTTGTAGAGATTTGGTTATTCTGTAGATGCTTTCAGAGTTTGTTCCCATAACTCCGTCATGACCCTTCAACACCACTCCCAGCTGCCTCCTACTTTTGAATTCGTCTCTCCATTTAAAGTTGTTTTACACTGGTTTTAATGTGTTTCAATTATATTAGTATGGTGTTCCTGTATAAGAACTTTGTTTTGTTCCTTTATATTTTGTTGGAAGCCACCCAGAGTGGCTGGGATAAACCAGTCAGATGGGTGGGGTATAAGAAATTTGTTGTTGTTGTTTATTACCACTCTGAGAACCAACCTCCTGGACAAGGACTTAAATACTTCAGAATAAAAGCATAATTATTATTGTTAGTTGCAGCTAGGCAACTCAGTGTGCATGAGTTTGGAACACTGGTGCAGGATGCATGATACAGATGCTGGTGCAACTTTCCCATGGCAGAGTTTCAGCCTGTTTGCTTTGGGTAGCTTCAGAAGTTACAAACAAGCACTTTTTAATTTGTAACTAAATTGGGGCAGAACATCTGGTAGATTGAAAGATGCATGAGTTCTGGCTAGTGATAGGTGAATACTGCTCCTTCCCTAGTTTTCCTTGAATTAGTTCATATCAATCTGGTTTTCTCCCAACTGGGAAATTGCTTAGACTATTCAGAGACAATCTGAATTAAATCAGACTCTGTAGTGCATCTAGTCAAGGGCATAGACCAATCCTTCTCTGATCCTATCCTTAAGCATTTAATTGTACTCCTGCCTGCCTCCCATCAAGCTAAAACTCTGCAACCCACTCACTGGCCTTCAACCACTTTCTTCAACCATCTGTTAACAAGTTTACCTTGGAACTATGGCTCCAGTGGAGAGGGATTGAGATTTTTCTCCTCCCTGCCCTTAGCATCCATCCTGCTTTTGTGGCAGCACCAGGCACCAACGGAAGGCAAAGGGGTGGGAGAAACTGCTGTGCTTACTTTTTCCCCAGTGTCAGAGCTAAAAGCAAAAACAAGAAGGAATGTAAAGAGGGGAAGGTGTTGCTCAGTATAGGTGAGAGCAGTGCTGGGCAGGTGCCAGAACTCACCATGAATGCCTCCCTTGTTCTCTTATAATGACGATGGCATCCACCTGAGAGGTGTCGGAACTGAGTTCCATCTGCAAAAAAGCCCTGGGTGAGGGGAAAGAATTCTGTGGATCAGCTTGAAATATGAGCTGGAGAAGAACTCAAACACAAAATGAAAGTGCTTTGGCAATTTCTAATTTTAAGTATGAGCTTTCCATAAAAAGAGAAAATTCCTTCTGATGAGAGAATTGTGAGGGTATGTGTTAGGTCTAATCAAGAGCACACAAAAATGCACTTGAGTACATTCAAATCATCGTACTGTCTATATATGTCCATTGCATCATGGCCAGAAACTTTAATAACCCTCCCCACGGATAGTGATTTTTGAAGAATGCTGCACTGCTACACATGAAGGTTTGTTCTCTAATATAAAGTATGTTCTTGTTTCAGTGGCAGCTTTCTGCCCCTCTTTCATTATGCTGTTTTACAATTAAGTGCGGAATGTGAAGAATTGTTTTCAAATATGATTGTATTATTTTCATTCTGACAGGGATTTAAAATTGAAAGAAATCTATTTTTCAGCTTCACACTACCAAAATTAGGCAAAGGGGGTTCCAAGTTAAAATAGATTACAGAAGAACAAATGAAGTTGTGAGTTTTCTTCAGCGTAAGGCTGCTTTTGAAAAGTCACTCATCTAATCTGAACTAGAAGCTTAAATATGATTTGCCCGGAAACCAAAATATAGCCTGAAACCTGATCTGGATCTGAACTTCTCCTCTCTTGCCAAATAAAAGCATACTTAACTTCATTTTGAGAGAATGGCCAGATGTTCATGCTGCTTTTTACTTTAGCTAAGCAAGTTCACCCACCTCTAATTGAAATCCTGAACATTAATACCTCTCAGGTGCTTTGCAGTGAGCAAATGTCATCCACATACATTTTTATTTTTGTATTTAATGTTGAATTTTCATGTAGTTGTTAGTGGTGAATATGTGTAGACCAGGAGGGAAATGTCAAAATAGAACATGCACCCCAGCAGAATATGTGCATACTACATACAGACATATCCATTCTGCATGCTATATGAAAGGCCTTTGTACAAGTATTGTGCATCTATGTCAATGGAATAGTGGAACAAGTGCAACCAATATATATTCTTTCCTTTGATATTCATAAATATTTAATTAAAATATTGATATACTGCATTGCCTAGGTTCATACCGGAATGCAATGAAACCATAATAACAATGAGCCAAAAAAAATTTGGCAGTGAACAACAACTCAAATCAGCAGCACACGTCACCTCCCATAGGCCAGGTGCACCAACTCTAGGGGAGGGGACCTCAGCACCTCAATATTTGTTTTAAGGGCCCCAGGCCCCTTCAATCTTGAGATGGACCTGTGAGCACAGCATGCTCTATGTGTTGCAGGTCCTCCAGTGCTCAGCTTCCTCCGTTGGGCACGCATTGCACATGCGTCATTACAGGTGTGTGACACACATGACATTACACACGTGCAGCACCCCACCCCCCCAATCTTGGGAGCAACCTGGTGCCTCTGCCATAAGCTATCCAGGACCAGAGGCCTTGCAGCCCCTAAAGAAAACCACCAGGAAGAGGCTCATCCTAACCTTCACAGGGAAACAATTGTATTGACTTTGAGCAATTGCACTGACGGTTTTATTCATGTGAATGGAATTTTTTCCTAAGCCTAATTGCCATGGGAGATACGAAGAGTAGGGGAAAAGAGATAAGGGGAGAAATTAGGGGAGAAAGAAAGAGAGAGATGAGGTTTAAAAGACCGCATAGCTGGAAGATAAATGTATGTATGAGTGTGGATGGATGGTTAGATGAATATAGAGTGTGTGTGTGTGTGTGTGTGTGTGTGTGTGTGTGTGAATAAAGGTAAAGGTAAAGGACCCCTGACAGTTAAGTCTAGTCGCAGACGACTCTGGGTTTGTGGTGCTTATCTCGCTTTACAGGCCAAGGGAGCCGGCATTTGTCAGCAGACAGTTTTTCGGGTCATGTGGCCAGCATGACTAAGCTGCTTCTGGTGCAACGGAACACCAAAACCAGAGTAGCGCACGGAAACGCCGTTTACTTTCCCGCCAGAGCGGTACCTATTTATCTACTTGCACTTTGATGTGCTTTTGAACTGCTAGGTTGGCAGGAGCTGGGACCGAGCAACAGGAGCTCACCCTGTTGCAGGGATTCGAATTGCCAACCTTCTGATCGGCAATCCCAAGAGGCTCAGTGGTTTAGACCACAGCACCACCCTCTGTGTGTGTGAATAGTTGTACATAAATGTGGTGTGTATGGATCCGTAGATACGAATGGAGTGTTGCTTTGTTCCTACCCTCTTTTAGCTGTTCACCACTACCATGTGAGTCATGAAAGGTTACCTATAAGGAGATGCAGCTTTTAACCTTAAAATGGTTTCCCTGCCATGTTCATGTCAAAATCTACAGAAAGCTTAAAGCAGTCTTGGTCTCCTTAGCAGACTGAAACCCTGATTGAAATAGTTAGAAAAAAGATGCCACATCTAGAAATGATTCAGCCTACTCTGCTACCATATATTCAAGCCATCTTTCCTAAAAAGAGAAGTTGTCATCTTTGCAAATGATGACTTTATAAGAAGCCACTGTCATCTTTTTTAATGGCAATGGCAACCTGTCCTCCTTCATATTCACAACCCTAGCTAACGGTCCACAATGCTCCATCCTACTGCCCTTGACTAACAATAGTGTATACTAATCTAGTGGTTATGGGTATAGGCTAAACAGCAGGGCTGGGAAAACACTGGCTCGCTCAGTGCTGCTGAACTACAACTCCCATTATCCCTGACCACTGGCCATGCTAGTTGGGGCTGATGGGATTTGGAGTCCAACAAAATCCAGAGGGCTGCAGGTTCCCCAGTCCTGCTATACAGTCTCAAGCACTCTTCTGACAGCCAAGGAATAAATACTGTGCTGGTGTACATAAAAATGGCTAGAATTTGGATACATCCCTGGCCCAAACATGATATGCATTAGAGGCGCTGAAACCCATGATGATCCACAACAGTTAATTCAGTCTTCCTATATACTACTTGACAATGCAATATAGCCACAACACCTGGAAGTGACTTTGCAGTAGCTGTTCCCCAGCCCAAACACTTTCTAGAATTAATGTAGGCTTTTATTCAGTAGTAGCAATATTATTATAAAAGGAAGGTTTTGACAGCTGGGGAATAGGTACAGAGGTTTCATAGTTAAATATTTTTATCTGTGTTTAATGTTCAAATACATAATAATTTGGCATTTTGTGCCTTAGTTCACACTTCCCACAGGATTTGCACTTGAGGTTTTATGTTAAAATACAGCAACAAAAGAAGAAATGTCTACAGAATTTTCATTGAAGCAAAGTGCCTGAGATGCTCAGAGTCAGAGCTGCAATAGCTAAAGAAGAATTGTTAAACAATACACATGTTTAGCAGTCTCCATTGTAGTGGATCCTAATATATTACTAATGTGACAGCTGTGAGTGTTGCAAGATGGAAGACTTATTATGCAGTCTGAAACTTAAGACAGATATTTCTGGTCACTGTCTCTTCTTGTCTGTGCCAACAGAAATTGTCTGACTACTAGGGGGCAGAGCCTAAGTGGTGGACTGGAGTGAATAAGTCTCCACTCCATTCCGCTTCATCTTTCTTCATCTTTCCATTACTAGCACCTCTGATTTTATTTCTGGAGTCACAGTGGCACACATGGCTCTGATCCCTTTCCTTATATGTCTATGCTGGATAGCACTGACATGTAACTCAGAGGACATGACTAAAGGAAATATGTGGGATCCTGCTGAAAATAATACCTTCATGCTTAACGTTCCTCTTTCCTGAAATGTGTGGGAACACCCTCTCCTAACATCATGTTGCAAGACTCTCTGCCCCACAAGTCACATCTGTTGAGGTGTAGTGGGCACAAGCGTGAGCATTTCTTTAAATTGTGGGGAGGACTGGGATAAGTAGATATGGGAATGTTTTCACCAGTATCCTGTTCTCATATGTCAGACATAGCTCCAGCCTGTAGATGCCTCAGATGTTAATACTTCCATAAGGTATACACTACGCCAGTTATAATTGCAAAAATGCTGGGTTCTCAGAGCGTTTTGTAACAACACAGTATTAAAGATGTAAAGAAATCTGCAGAATAAATCCTTTATAGGCCTATAATATGGTAAGAGAAGCAATGCACATGTGGGAGTCTTACTAACATCTGTTATTTCTGACTTGAAGCAATGTCAGAGGGTATATTTGAATAAATGGTAGGATTTGCTACTTTGCCAATAGATTTCTATGGCTGTGATTCATAAACTGCTGGTCTATACATAAATACTTACGCTTAACATTTAAGTGGATGAGTCAGAAGACAACAGCAAGACTATAAGTTGCCTGATGGAGAAACATGTAAACTATTTGGAGTTACCCCAATAAGTCTGTTTGCCACTTCTCGGGCAGATGGCTTTGTGAGTGGGCCTCCAGTCCACCACTCAGGCTCTGCTCCCTAGTAGTCAGACAATTTCTGTTGGCACAGACAAGAAGAGACAGTGACCGGAAATATCTGTCTTATGTTTCAGACTGCATAATAAGTCTTCCAGTTTTCAACACTCACAGATCTGTAGGCGCAGACCATCCCCCGATTCAATATAGTTTGTTAAGAAAATTGCCAAACTCGGATCCACGGGCGACTCTGGGTCATTTCTCTATGGTAGTCTATCTTAAAGTTTTTATGTGTTTATATGCCTACCGCATTTTTAAATTTAAAATCCATTGTTATAAATTGTTTTAAATGTTTGTTTTGCTTTTGGGATTGTAGTTCCATTTGTGTTTCACAAGCTGGTCTCTGACCATAATAAATTTCATGTTCATGGTGGGAGGGTGTTCCACACGGCGGGCACCACTACCAAGAAGGCCCTCTGCCTGGTTCCCTGTAACTTCGCTTCTCTCAGTCAGGGAACCGCCAGAAGGCCCTCGGTGCTGGACCTCAGTGTCTGGGCAGAACGATGGAGTTGGAAACACTCCTTCAGGTATACTGGACTGAGGCTGTTTAGGGCCTCGGTGCAGTATAGTGGTACTGTACTGCTATTCAAGAATATTGGCCACAATCCAGTAACTCCATGTGTGTACTTAGGTATGATTTTACCAAGTTTTTCTATTCTTTCAAATAAACAGTTGCCACACAACTGGGTTGATGTTTTTTCTTTTTCCATTCATGACCACAAGATTTCTTTTCTGGTCTGCTTCACCAGTTCAGTTTAATTTGAACAAAATTCTATACAACACACCCCACCCCCATACCAAAAAACCCCCACACCTTTCTTGAAAAATGACTGCGACTATGGGTCTGGGTTAGTCTAGTTTTAGAAGATAATTCATCCTTTTTTTTATTTTTACAGTGAACCTTCTTTCTGACATGGGCTATGCGGCAGAGGCATTGCTAATGACAGGCCTGGGAGAATATGATAATCAGCTTTTTTGCTACATTATGAAGACTTACACAGTCTCTGTGTGTTTTCCCCCTTCAAAGAATATGCACAATATTCTTTAAATATTTTCCCCACTGCTCCTGAAAATAAATGACTCTGCCACAATTTGCAACAGTGCCATCCATACTTAAATGAGAGGTATTGAACTGCCTGACTTCCTGGCATAATTTACAAAGCGTTAAGCTTCAGTGCATAAAATATTCCATGTTTGTCCTCAGTTTCAGGCAGAATAAGACAATTTGCACTGTGGCATGTTCTTCCACAACTGAAACACATTTTTTCACAGTGTTAAATCATGGTAGCTTACTTGCTTTATTATATACCTTTACAAAGTATTACCTTCCATTTAATTTTGTTAAATTGTTTCATCTTGCCCACAAGGATTTATCTGTGTTATGCTTAACACAACACAGAGTTTACCAACTTTGTTCCTGAAGTCTAATTACATGCAAAGGTGGCCAGTTTTATTATTTTATTATTATTTAGCTCTAGTGAACTGTGACTGAAAATGATAACACAGACTATTAGGTATGATCTGAAAAATAAGCAGGTAATCTCTCTTATTATTATACCCCTTTTACTGCACGCATTTCAAATATGGTTTAAAAATGAATGAAAATCCTATTATATTTATTGACATTTTCTGCATGAAATGAGAGGGTTTAAAAAATATGACACAAAGCTATATTCTGTACCAACAAAGGTGCCTACAAGTTACTTGGAATGGAGAAATGAAATTACTGTGACAGTCCAGTGTAATATCAGAACAGCAATTTAAAGTTACATTAAATATAACTTTATATGCTGCAACTTGCTGCTTTTCTGCTTTTCGTAAGAGATGTCCAAAAAGCAGAGTGCCACCTTTTTATTGAATATGCTCAGACATCTTTTTATGCAGCATACATGGCACTGCAGTTTAAATTTTCCTGCAAGTACTTTGCATAAATATTGTCAAAGTGGTTAAAATTACCTGGGCAAATAATTAAAAGCTGGAATGAAACCAGGTTTTGATTGAAGTATTCTGGGTAATTTGTATTGATACAAAATGTATGCCATGCTTAAGCCCCACATCTTTACAGAATCAAAGCACCAGAGAAAATGTAAAGCACTCAGGCTTCAGGCATCGGATAAGATTTATGAAGGGAAGCGAGTAGGAAGAAAAAAAGGGTATAACTGATGGAAATCAGGCTCAGAAAGAGTCTTTTTTATCAATATGACTGGCTCAAAGCAAAACCAAGATCAGCAGTTTCCAGAGTTGCAACCAGGTAGACAGTCATAGGAAACCAGTAAGAGGGACTGGAAAAAGGAAATTGCATAGTACTAGAGGAGGGGCAGACTTTGGTAATCTTTGGTAGTATGGTGCCCTGAGCGAGGCTAAAATCTGGTGCCCCTAATTGGATCTTCTCAGTTGTAGATCTTCTCAATTTTGCACCCCCTCAACTCGGCACCCTATGTGGGGAAACCACCCACGCTTCCCTAAATTCAGCACTGACTAGAGATGGTATTCTGTCCTGGACAAGGAACTCACAGAACATGATTGGCTTAGGCAGTGAGAAAAGCTCCAGGTGAGCAACTTGATAAACTATTGTGATGGTGAATTAAAGACTTTTATGCCTCTAAGGCCAGATCACTCTCTCAAATGCTATGCCCTTCATGCAAAATAACCTTCATTGCAAATGGCGAGTGGTAGTCCTAGCATATGGGCCTAGAGGAAAGGACCCACTAGTATCAAGAAAAGTGATATGGTTTTGGACTTCCATATTATCTGAAGGAGTCACCAGGGTCTCAATATTCCTCTTATCCTCCAGCTCTCTTGATTTACAAACCATGATTCCACTTGAAGATTCTGGTTTTAAACAAGCAGCCAGGTTGAGACACGTGTGTGTGTGTGTGTGTGTGTGTGTGTGTGTGTTAGAGAGTGTTTTGACACTGCACATTAGATGAAGCCTTAAGTTTTGTCAATTGATGCTTTATGTAACCTAGACCTAGTTTTTTGATTCTCCAAAGGAACTGCATGAAGCATGGCTGTCTTTACCCTGCAAAGAATAGGCATGGGGTGGTGGACAGAGTCATCTGACTGATTCTAGATCTCCTATAAACTTATCTAGCTGAATCTTCAGTCTAAGAACAAGCTGAATGCTTGAAGAGTGATGATCAAATAAACATATGTCTTTGTAAATATAGCTAAGAATTTTATATGTCATACATACATGGATTTTATATGGCATACCCCATATAAAAAAACTGGGACATTCCATTTTTTATGCAAGAGCGTGGCACTCGTTTTGCATATCGTGATCTCACACAATTTTGCACTGAGCTGTCACACCAGAAAACCAGTTTTTTGGGGCCACGATCTCGTGCAGCGCCCCAAAGCACATTTTTCAGGTGTCATGCTCTTGCATGAGAGCATGGCCCACAAAAAGTGCTTCTTTGGGCTCTGTGATTTTGTGCGGGTCATGTGACTTGCACAGGAGCACTGCCAGGAAGACACACATCCCAGTTTTGGGACTCAACATGTCTGAGATGAGATAAACAGAAACTACTGCAATTAAATGTTGTTCTAAAAAAAATATCAATATATCAATATGTTTTGTATTGACATTAAGGAATGCTGTCATCTTTAATATTTAAATATGTTAAGACAGAAATTTACTAGTAGATCATTGACCTCTATCTTAGGCATGAGAATTGATTGATTGATTGATTGATTGATTGATTGATTTGATTGTCTGTCTTTATTCTAGAAACTAAAGGGAATCAGTATAGCTGTTGCTGTAGAACTGTTGCTGAGGAACTGAAATGTGTTGACAACTATTATATGGCTACTAATATCTAATAATTCAGTGTGTCATCACATGCTTTCCTTCTTTGTCTGAAAGTATTTCAGGTGGGATGGGGTGGTGAAAAGAAAGCTCTGAACCAAATTTTAAGTTACTGAGAGCACGTTCTGTGGATCCAGATTGCATGCTCAGCAGTGATAAAATGACATACATAATATGGGGAAAAGCTCTTTTCCCCCTTTAATTTGATTCATAATCCTTATCAATTCAATCAAATTAAAACCCATATTTTTTATTAAAAGGTGCTAAAACAAGCAATATAGGAATTGTGATAAAGCTAGGTTTCAATATATAATAAAATACACAAGTTTCTGCACAGCAAGAGCATGGCTTTGTACCACCGCTATGCTTGGAAATTTCCAAGTGGGATATAAACCCCAGTCCCGTGGAGTTGCTAAATCACACTTATTTTGGTTATTATAGGGTATTAGCAGATGTGTTCTACTTTCTTGTGTCCCCTGCAGTAATTGTTTGTTGCTTTTAGTATATCAGTAGTGTGGATCGAGATGGGGGGGGGGAGACACCAATTTTATTGTATGGGCCCAAAATCAAAGTTTACTACGAATAATATATTTATTTTTCTTTTCTACAGTAAGGAAGTTTCTTCTGAGTTATTGAGAGCTATTAACAGAGAGTATAGGCAAAAAGGGAACAAGAAATCTGCTCAAGATCTCTGACTTCATTCTATTTTCTAAAAGGATATTAGAATTAAATTGCAGTAGATCCCCTTCCTTAGCACAGCTGTGCTTCTTGAAGTATTTTTCCCAATATAAACTATGGTGTTGTGAAGGCACAGGTAGACACAGGAAACCATTGTCCATCTAGCTCAGTAAATGTCTACACGGACTGGTAGATGCCAGGGTCAAGAATACATTGCTCTAACTAACTTGACCGCAATGAGTTTTTTAGAATCTGACATGTCCTGATCAGTTTAAGGAGTCATCTCACTGTATTCAAACCTGGAAAGTTAGTTGACTGCCCTCAGGATGGAGCTGCAGCTCTGAGGCCACTCTTTCCTTTGTTGCTTGGACTGCTGACCATGTGTTGGTCCAGAGTACTGGTGATGCAGGAGTGAAAACACTGTAGACTGGCTATTGGAGGTCCTGGTTCAAGATGTTCCCTCCACTGGTACCTTACATAGGTATAATACAACACCCTGGTGTTGTCCCATACCTGAATGGATTTGCCAATTTGTGGGCCCATGGCTGCTGAGGATGAACTTGACATCTCTATTCCCAGCTCCCTTTACCTCAAAGAGTTGTTAAACAATACACAACTTTCAGGCCTCAAACAGCTTTTCAGGTTGCACAAGAAGCTGCAACTGAAAGGCAGCAGCATAAAATCTTTATACTACCAACAGACTTCACTGACCATAGTGAAGATCAAACTCATTTTATTTATTTTTGGTCGGTTAGTAATAATTTTAATTTGACCCCTGATAGACCTTTTCCTTGTTCATAAGCAGTATGTGGCAAGTGAGAAATATATCAATTTTAAAATTGCATGTGCTGTTAAACCTTGAAGAAGATTTAGTTTGGTCTATCTATACTTGGAAGAAGCAGTATTGCAAAAGTTAGCTTTGTGTGTGTGTGTTTTCATATCTAAAGCTCTTGTAATCTTCAACAGCTATCATTTATTTTCTTGTCTAATCCTGCTATAGGCCATTCCCTTTTGCCCATGAGACTTCCTGTACAAAAAGGCAAATGCGCTGCAGAATTTTCTAACCCTTGTGAGAATGTGTTTGCTATAAACATTCCCTTTTCTTGACTTGTCTTCACCTTTTTTTCACCTCTTGGAGTGCAGCAGAATAAATCTTAAATGAATCTAACTTTTGCCCTTCTAGCCTCATAGTTGCTGGTCTGTGAGCAACAAAAACAAAACAAAACCTGGCACTAAATTTAGAGTTGTTTGGACTTGGTGTATTTATATTTAAAACGAAAAAGATGGGAAGAGAAGCATTGAATGAATGGCTCGGTTGGGGTTGGGGGAGGGGGAGAGACATACCGCATTCCACTAGAGGGTTGTTTTTGTTTTCCCTCCTGGTTTCTGAGTGCCTTACCCTCTTATTTTTCTTCATTATTTTCTTGTTTGCCTTTTTATTTTGTTGCACACCAGAGGTCTGTGCTTTTGATACCAGATAGCATTCTCCTAAAGCAGAAACTATTGCAAAAGTGTAGCGTATGATGGAGAATACTGACAGGCCATGCTGCATATTCAGCCTTCTCTTATGAAGTAAAGCTCTCCTTTCTTTTTTAGTCAATAAGTCCATAGTGTAGCACAAAGAATCTAGATAATGCAGCATTCTACCTAATTGAGTAGCTGTGATGGATTGCTTATATTCTTATGGTACAAGCTGCTTGAGGCAAGGTCTGCTTCAGAGCCACCACTGGTGTCTGATAGTGATGCCCTAGCAGTACTGCTAAGCATAGTGTTTACCCTCATGAGTCAACCTAGCCTGGCAAGCATTCTGTTATCCCTCCTCTTTAATGGAAATTACCTTTCTAGATATTCTTTGTTCAGTTCCCGTTCTGGATATTCTATTTCATGGGTAGGCAAACTAAGGCCTGGGGGCTGGATCTGGCCAAATCCCCCTCAAAATCCGGCCCACGGACGGTCCAGGAATCAGCGTTTTTACATTAGTAGAATGTTTCCTTTTATTTAAAATGCATCTCTAGGTTATTTGTGGGGCCTGCCTGGTGTTTTTACATGAGTAGAATGTGTGCTTTTATTTAAAATGCATCTCTGGGTTATTTGTGGGGCATAGGAATTCGTTTGCCCCCCCCCCCAAAAAAAAATAGTCAGGCCCCCCACAAGGTCTGAGGGACAGTGGACCGGCCCCCTGCTGAAAAAGTTCGATGACCCCTGTCTATTTTTCTTAAATGAATCGCTTTGTGAAAGCGATTACAGTGGTACCTCTAGTTGCGGATGGATCCGTTCTGGAGGTCCAGTGGAATCCCGAGGTTTCTGCAACTTGAGAACCGCTTCCGCAAATGCACACACAGCAAACCTGGTAAAATACTTCCGGGTTTGCCGTTTTCGCATCCCGAAGTTTACGTAACCACAGGGTTACATAACCGGAGGTACAGTGGTACCTTGGGTTACATACACTTCAGGTTTCATACACTTCAGGTTACAGTCTCTGCTAACCCAGAAATAGTACCTTGGGTTAATAACTTTGCTTCAGGATGAGAACAGAAATTGTGCTCCGGCGGCGCGGCAGCAGCAGGAGGCCCCATTAGCTACTGTAATTCCTTTATTCTGTGCTGCTATAAATCACCACATACAGCATGCTGATGTTGATGGGGTGTGGGGGCCTCTTCTTTTGGTAGTCATCTGGCATGTTATAGAGTGGTTTTTGCCTGTCACAGGAGAAATACGTTGTTTTTTGTTCTTGTTGAGGATTGTATTTCCTTGGGGAATAACCTGCTGGGTAGTGGTAGGCGGTGCTAAAACCAAAGATGAGCAGAGCCAGAGAAAACAGCACTTGTGGATTAATTAATCTGAAATGAAATCTGTGTGCCTTAATTTTCTCCATGACTATCTCAGATTAGAATTCATAATTTGATTCAGATGTACTCAGAAGTAAGTCCCAATAACCCAGAAATAGTACCTCGGGTTAAGAACTTCGCTTCAGGATAAGAACAGAAGTCATGTTCCGGCAGTGCGGCGGCAGCAGGAGGCCCCATTAGCTAAAGTGGTGCTTCAGGTTAAGAACAGTTTCAGGTTAAGAATGGACCTCCGGAACAAATTACGTACTTAACCCGAGGTACCACTGTAAATGCAATTTCTAATCTACATTTTAACTAACTTGATTAGAAAAAGGGAACCACTTGCATTGCCAGGCTTCTTTACAATCTTCTTGGGTCAAAATGGCTACCCAACAACAAACCACAATCAGTTCCATCTAGTATCTGAAGTGATGCTAGATGTTGAGATAAAACAAATGGAGTCTCTGCAGGTGTGGTTTTCCCTCCACTGGAAATTTCTGCAATTAAAGCAGAAAACAGATGAACTTCAGAAAAATGGTGGCATGCCAAACATCTCATTCTATGTGGGCATCTTCAGATAATACTTACTCTATTCTCATAACTCTGTATGTAAGGTGAGATCAAGCACAATTCTTAGGGTGGTTGACTCCCCTTCATTAAGTGTCCAAATTGGGAAGAACAATGTTTATTTGAATATGGCATCTCCCTGGCCTCATAAGCTCAATCCTTCCTACATTTCTGTTGGTAGGGTTGGGGTGATCTTATTTTCAAATGAAACTGATACTTCAGATATTACCTTCATATTGTGAGATGGACTGTTAGTAGAGTTGTGCAGAATGCACATGCCTAAAACCCACTCCCGATCTCACTATCTCACTCCCGATCTCACCTGTATCTTCGTCTGTGAATGAGAGAGATTAAGAGAGATTTGTGTGGAACCCATGGATATTGAGAAGAGAACTGCATGTCTAGACTAGTGTTATGTGGTACGAACTGTATCAAACTGTTAAAAGTCCAGCCACTAGTATTTGGATGGCCAACTTCCTCAATAATATTATCTAATGGAGTTCCAGGATGGATATGTGAATTGTATTTTCCCAGTTCTCACAGTGCTCTCTATTCAGCTAGTTCATTTGTCACTCATAGCAGTTCCTCAGATAACAAGAAACAGTGGTCATTAAAAATAAAGATTTGATCAACGGTACTGATACTATCACAACATAGTCCCTTAAACTATCTATGCTTTTATCAATGCCCGTGTACAGAAAAAGAGGCTAAATTCATTTTTAAAAATGATTGCTGCAATCAGCTTACATGTACAGAAAGAGAGGCTAAATTCATTATATAAATTATTCCTTGTGAACTTGTTAACCTTTTCTAGGTATGTGCCATCTTCAGAGACATTCACAAGCATTCATACATGAAGAATCTCAATGAAGTATGAAACGGCAAAGAATAATTCTGTGTAGGTAGCATACCCTTAATGCATTGCAGGTGCTATAAAAAAGACAGCTTACATTTTCCTCGTGTCTCAGTGCCTTAAATGTTATGGTACAATGAGCCAGTTAGCTAGCTCTTTGCCCTTGTAGATTGTATTTAAACTGACTACACTGACAACCTTCCACAGACAGCCCTGTTAAAATTGATGCTGCCAAGTAAACAGCTGTTTGGGTGGTTTTTAATGTAGATTTCACCCAATTACTAACAAGAAACTGTCTGCTAGCCTGCTGAAAGCCGTTCTAGTGCTTGAATATGAACGTATCTAATCTGTTTCAAAGAGCATAAGGGACAGCAAAAGAACATTTAGATCTGGTCTTTGGAGGAGCAACTTTTTTCAATTTGTGCATTTCAAGGCTAAAGTAAAACTTTGCTTTGCCTGCAATGATTAACTTCATACTTTCATGGCATGTAGGCACCAGATTTTGAAACCAATAGGAGGGGATTTATTTATTTATTTTTTAAAATGAAAGATACAAGGAAGTACAAAAAGGGGAGGGAGGGAAAACATAAGCCAGGCAGGACCTAGGAAGTGGTGGTTCCTAAGCTATGGAGAATCTCTGCCAAGAAAATCAGTAGTGCCTATAGCCTGCCAATAGTCCCAGTTTTTATCCATATCAGTTTACTTTAAGTTCCATTTTATATTTGATATGCTAATGAACCCTCATTTCAATAAAACTATACTATTCAGTTCTTATACGGATATACAGGGTCTCGGGAGACAATGGAAGAGTGTGCCTTCAGGGATGAAGTCAAACAGGAGTTACAGCACCTGATGTTGTTGTAGAGACTGATATGGGAGAGACATGTTTTGCTGCAGAGGTTGTGGGGCAGATAAAGACATACACTTGTGCTGATGCAGGTGTACCATGGCATTTCTTCTTCCTGTACTCCTCACAGCGGTTCTTTTTCCGCCTGCCACTGTTGTGGATACACAACCTGTCTCTAGGTGCTGCGGTCATCTGCAATGGATTTGTAAGTCAGTTACCTTTATAGTTGTCCAAAGCTTTCCATTCTCTATTTGGTGGGTGCCTTGTTTTCATGGTGAAATTAGCAATTAATACTAGCTACCTGACAGTTTAGTTGCATTCCCAGATAAAATTTGATGTACCGTGGACATCCTCAGTAACTTTTCTTCCCCTTTTGCCATGTTATCTTACCCAGCATGTATAGGGAATACAGTAAAGGATTAACATTGTTAAGAGTTTTTAAGCCCTTTGTATCTGACTTGCTCTGAGCACCTCAGGCAGAAACAGGAACCCTTTACTTAACTACCTTTCCCTCCATACTGTTACTTTATAAATTCAAACTCGGAACTCTATACATTTAGCAGCATAGGGATTCTTTTATGACTAACAAGCTTGGTGGCCTGAGCAAATCTGACTCCAGTTTAACATTCATTCTTGATCTGGGAATTGGATCTGAATTTACTGGCTTTTAAATGTATTAAATACTGCTTTCTCTGCTCCTGTATTATGAGACAGAATGAAACAATGGCACTGACCAGTTGCCCTTCATAATTTAGAATACATTAACAAAGTTCCCTTGATACTATTCACTTTTCCAGCCTATATTAAGATGCAATTCCTACTACACCGCTACCCCATCTCATTGCCCTGTAGTGGGTTTTGAAATTAAAGCATTGTGTTGCAAAACTAATTTTCTCCCTAAGGCAGTGTGCATTATTATAGACCTAATCCAATCTTAGTGCAGAATACTTTCTCCATTTATGACTGGTACAATAAAGGTCCGTGGAGACTCTGTTCCCTGAGTCCTACCATCAGCTGATTCCTCCCCTCCTTTCATCTAAGTAATAATTACACTGATTAGAATAATTTCAATGGGTTTTTTCAAAAAAAGAAGTGATGTGGAGAGTGAAATGACATTTTACACCTTTACTAAAATCTACAATCATGTTTTTATTGCGGAGATTCTTCACAGGTTCATAGGAATTGAGTATAAACTGAGTCCTTCAAATCCATAGGAGCTTCTGCCACCAATATCCTACCCTGGGGATTCCAATTCCTTTATAGCAAGAGTATCAGATCGCCATAAAATCTGTCCTCTGGTCTCTACTCATTCTTCCTATGATCAAGTCTGCTGAAGAAAGAAATCCCAGAATCATATGCTCCCCTGACAGCTTAGAGATGGGATTTGTGTTGCATGTGTGTGTTTGTCCCCAACAATTTGTCCTATATATTAGCATATCCCCTCCTCAGCCACATATGCACCAACATCTCCTTTTTAGTTACATGTGTACCTGATCATACATTCATTACATTCATATGATTGTAGAATGTTAAGGAGAAATGGCTCCTAATATAGATTTTCCTAAGCATGTCATCAGGTTGCAGTTCACAGGGCTGCCAACAGGTGGTGGTGCAAACTACAGTGTGACAGCAAACTGGGATCTCAAAGCCACTGAGTCATCACAGCAGAGTAAGGAGAAGGGAACCAGAGGGCAACTCAGTGCCAGTGAGCATTTTGTAGCTGAGGCCAGCAAAAATGTGAGTGGGTATCCCAGGCTGGCAAGCAAATTGCCGGGTCACCCAGGCAGATTAGTGTCTTTGGCCAGCAAGTGAAGGTGCAGAGGGATAGCTTTGGTGAGGTGCAAAGGGAAGAGGGTAGCATTGGCAAGGAATATGGGGATGGGGTGGCTATGGAGAGGGGTTAAAGGGATGGGTGGGTGGGTGGCTTTGATAAGGAGGTAGGTGAGAGCAAGGGTGCAGCCTCTAGTATTGAGAGGCCTTGGGAATCATAACTCTCATATTTCTGTATCCAAACAGTTTATCTTTCCTGAAGAGATGTCAGGATCCAGTGTGCTTGAAGAAGGGCCAGATACTGTATATTGTTGAGAGAGAGCAATTCCATCTTTATTATTCTATTTTGAGCTCTGTTTTGAATCTCTGATCATCAAGTTATTAATCAGTTAATCACACCAATAGCATTCACGTGCCCAATTGTAACAGTAGCTATAAGGACATAATTACATTTACATATGAATAGTGGTGGGTTGTTGTTGTTTTTTAAAGCCTGCCTTATTTTTAATACTACATCAGAAGTACTGCATTTTATCCCCAAAAGAACTCAGCATGGGGCTCATCCTAAAAAATTCTTTTGATGACATTAATTAAAGAAAGGGAAAGTACTTATACATAAAAGCCAGGAGCAATACAGGTCTGAAAGCTAATTCTGCTTGACTTGAGCTGGTATGCAGCTTTCAAGATCAAGATCTAGGTGTTCGGTTTGACGCCACGTATTATTTCTATTATTTAGATCAAATTACACATTAGAGCTTTTTCCTACTGATAATTAAGTCATATATACATGCTAATTATTATCATTCTGCTCTTTTATGTGCCTGTAAGGCAGGATGGGTGCATTGATTAATGTTAGCTGTCATTTTAAAAAATCTAAATTTGCATTCGTTAATCAAAACCTCTGAACATTAAGGTTACAGTTGGATAGGACGTTGGTCTACCACAAGATAGATTGAGACAAAAAGGATGCTCTGCACGAGTATTACTGTGTTTTTCATTTCAGCAAAGTTTGTACAAGAGAATTTCCAGGTGATTAATGCCCTAGATAAGTGTCAGTGAGAGGGCTGTTGCAAGTGTGTGGCAGGGGCCAGAGGCCAGGGAATTAACCCAGGAGAGGGGGCCCAGCAATTTATGGGATTTGGTGATGCCTGCAAGGCAGGAGCCAGGGCAAGAGGAAGTGGAATGTTCAGAGCCAGGGTGTGCAGCTTGTGCACCTGGAGGAAGTTCAGGTGAGGGCCAGTCAAATACCTGCCATCCCCTGCCCCACTGTCTCCTAGAACCAGGACAGGCTTGCAGAGGGAAAAGCAGCAATGGCTTCCATGTAGGAAACGCCTCAAGTTGCGCACATGCACCCCATCAGATGAGAGTACATTAGTTGGTGCATGGGGCTTGTCCCGCTGTTACTGCAACTGCTCTGCAGGACACTGACCAGAGGACAGCTGCCAAGAGGGTAGCAACATTTGTGCATGAGTATCTGGGAACACCATGAGAGTTGCTGTAATTGTGTGATTTTTCTCAATAAATAATTATCAGACCTGTGCCTTCCTTGGCTGGGGATGCCTAAGACAATAAGCCAAAATGTAGAGGGCTGACTTAAAGTGGAATTTTCTTTCATAAAGTAAGTTTTATGTTTAGCACTACTTAGTAAGTGGAAGTGGACACACACAATTTGACAGGAACTCTGTACTGTTTTCATATTTAATTGTGAATATGTGCGAAGCAGATTTAGGGAGGGAGAAAGCAGAGTAGCTGTAACATGGAAAGTGCTTTGAGAAATCCATTTCCCCCACAGTTCTAGTGTTTACATTTTTGTTACTAAATTATAAGGACCTGATCTTCATGGTTCCTCAACATCCTGGAAAAAAGTGACAAGTGGGGTGCCACAGGGTTCTGTCCTGGGCTCATTGTTATTCAACATCTTTATATATGACCTGAATGAAGGAATTGAGGGGATACTCTTCAAATTTGCAGATAACACCAAGCTGGGAGAGGTAGCTAATATTGCAGAAGACAGAATCGGGATTCAAATTGATCTTAACACATTGGAGACCAGATTGGGCCAAAACTAACAAAAGAGGGACAAATTTTAGGTTCTTCACTTAGGCAGGAAGAACCAGCTGCACAAATATAAGATGGGGAACATCTGGCTTTGTGTACATGTGAAAAGGATCTAGGGGTCTTAATAGACCACAAGCTTAACATGAATAAACAGTGTGATGCAGCAGCAACAGAAGGGAAGTAATAGTACCTCCCTCTTCTGCCTTAGTCAGACCACACCTGAAGTTCTGTGTCCAGTTCTGGGCACCACAATTTACGAAGGATAGATATTGACAAGCTGGAATGAGTGTGGAGGAAGGCAAGCAAGATTATCAAAGGTCTGGAAACCAAGACTTATGAGGAACTGTTGAGGGAGTTGGTATGTTTAGCCTGACTAAGAGGAGACAGAGAGGAGATATTATAACCAAATATCTATAAGGAGAATGGAACAAGCTTGTTTTCTCCTGGCCCGGAGGGTTGGAACCAAACCAATGGTTTCCAGTTACAAGAAAGATAATTATGACTAAACATTAGGAAGAACTTTCTGACGGTAAGAGCTGTTTGACAGCAGAATGGCCTCCCTAAGAAGGTGGTTGGTTCTGCTTGAATGGAGGTTTTTAATAATAATAATAAGATTTTATTATTTATACTCTGCCCATCTGGCTGGGCTTCCCCAGCCACTCTGGGTGGCTTCCAACCAAATATTAAAATACAGTAATACATCAAACATTAAAAGCTTCGCTGCCTTCAGATGTCTTCTAAAAGTTTGGTAGTTGTTGTTCTCTTTGACATCTGGTGGGAGGGCGTTCCACAGGGTGGGTGCCACTACCGAGAAGGCCTTCTGCCTGGTTCCCTGTAACTTGGCTTCTCGCAATGAGGGAACCCTTGGCAGAAGGCCCTCGGCATAAGTTGGATGGCTTGGACACTTTAGTCGAGATTCCAGCATTGTAGTGGGTTGGACTACATGACCCTCAGGATCCTTTCCATATCTACCATATCTACCATATCTTCCATATCAATGATTCTATTATTCTGTTCTCCTTTTTTTATTAACTTTAATTCAGTGTAATAATACTAACATAAAAAATATATATAGTCAGATTTCTTTGGAGAAATGTTGGTTGGCACCATTCTCAGAACAGATTTACACAGGAATCAAGTATTCTTTGGTGGGAATACTTTGTTGTATGGGGATACTTCATTGCATCACTGGGTCCCATGCTAGAGAAGGATGTGATAAGGGCACATTTCTGCAGCCATTTCTGCCCACACTTAGAAAGCACACAACTGTCTATAGTCTTAGGGGTGGGGTAGGGGAAAAGTAGTGAGTCTAATATGCCAAGCAAAAATATTTTTAAATCACTGTAAGTTATTTTGTGGGTAGTGCTGGAATCAGATTTGTAGATGGAGCTGATCTTGTTTTTCAATAAAATACAAGGGAGGAGATTTACAGCAAGAATTACTGCAGAGATGACAAATACTGTGAGATCACTTTGGGGCTTTAGTAAGGCTCTGCTGCAGGGAGCATGTACATGTATTGAAATCTTGCTGTAATCAGACAGTAGCTGAGCACATGATTGCAGAGCAAAAGAATAAAGAAAAAGCAGGAAAGTGCCTCTGTTTAATTTGCCCATGTAAGACCTACATAAAATCTTTATGGAGTTTTGAAAATTTTGGAGGAACTGTTTATAGCAGTCGTTGGATTTTGTACATTAATTGTAAAATCCATTTTTATGTGTTAAACTGTTTCTGTGAGATAACACTGCCAGTTGTTTCTTCATTGTCCTCTTATGAACACAACAGAAATAGGTTTAGAGATGTTTTTGTGAACCAGCTGTATCCATCAGTTTGGCCATTCAAGTTAACCCTTTCCCCTGTAACTTTCATGGCAGCTGTTCACAAAGGTCAGGTAGCAGAGCCGATAACTTTTCTTCATTGGTTGTGGCAGGGTTTTGTTGGGTTACAAGACAAGCTTCAATGTACTCACACAGCAATAATCTAAATATAAATTCACAATGTCAGGCTTTATTATATTTAAGTGTTAGAAATTGCAAGTTAGAATTCTAATAAAACTCTGCTCTTTTCAGTCTCTGTATCCATCCCACCTGCAACACATTTTCTAATAATTGCCCTCAATTAATCCTATTATGCAAGCTTAATTTTTGCCAACTGAGAGCCTCTTCACACAATGCAATTTTCACACATAAGTCAATTCAATGAGAAAAATCATGCATGCCCACTCGGACATCACAAATGGGTGTGCTTGGCTTGGGATTCTTTTTACATGACACAGCTGCATTGAGTGAGTCATCTGAAGTTATTTGCTACTCTGGCAGCATATTGTGTTGCAGATCCTTAACTATGGCACAGTACAATTTTCTGTGAGTAGTTGTTACAATGTGCTCTGACTTTTTCAAAGGATCAGGATAAATGGCCTATGTATGATTCAAATCTCCAGGAGTCTATAATTTGGAAATCTAGAGCATCAGGATATATATGCAATATAAATGCTTGCAGAGTTATTGAAAATCTACTTAGTATATTTTTGAAACTGGGAATTCTGTTAGCTTTCTCTTACATGAAACATAAAATAAGGAAGGGGTTTTTTTACCTGTTACAGAAGTACTTCATATATTTATCAATGATAGGAAAGTACTTTATTTTCAAATTTACTGAAATATGCGCAGTATTGTGCCTATATTTACTGTATTATTATTATATTTACAGTGCATATCTGCTATACATATATGCTCAGAACATTGTTATGGCTAGTGGCTGATGCAAACAAAGTGTCTTCTATCTACGTAGAAGTAATCCTTAGCTTGCAATCCTAAAGTCACTTAATTGGTGAAAGTAAGTTCCATTGAACTCAATATGACTAACCTGAATATAGGATTACACTATTATACAATTGTGATTGTAGAATAGTTTAGCCAATCTGCAACAAACAAACAAGCAATCCAAGCTATGTTATGTACGTGTCTAAAAGGGAATACATTTTTGTTGCAAAATGTCAGTGTGTGCCAAAGTGTTTTGTTTTCCTTGAATCGTAAGTGTACATCTTCAGTCTGGTTTTTCATATTATTAATTCTCTCAGCACCTTTCTACTAAATCCTTGGAAATTACCAGTGAACTTTGGGCTAGAAACTCTATCTTCTGTCCCGCTAATCTAACCCCTAGAGCCAGTGCTATATCAACATCATTCTCAGTTGCATTAAGTAGCCCATCCTTTTTTCACACATGTCTCATTTAGGCCAACAGAGATAAAATGGAAATTCTGTTTTATGCCCCATAGTGTGGTCCACATGGGAAATGAAGAGTTGATAAGCGTACATTCAGTTCACTTACTTAAGTGATAATTAAAACAGGAGAAACAAAACACAGAAGGAGCCATGGAATGAAATTGTCAGTCTGAAAATCCAGACAGAATTGCATATAGATAGTTCACAAGAACCTTGATAGCAGACCCATCTCTGCTCTCTTGGGTTTAATTTGGAACTGGAAGGAAAAAGAGGAAATCTTGCACTACTACCAATTAGGTTAATATGGTTTGGAGACTTCACTTACAATCACCAACTTTGAGGAGAAAACTTCATGTGGCAGTGTTTGCAATAGTTAGAGCGTTGTTGTTGTTGTTGTTTTGTTGATGGTGATATTGTTTTGTTGTTACTTTAAGATTATTTAGATGTTTAGAAAAAAGTAGTTTGCTTCTATAAAACTGAAAGTTCATCGTAATGAATACAGGAGGTGGGGTCTCTTAAAATGCCCTAAAACTTAGAAGTACCCAGCCTGGGGGTTGCTCCTCAGTTAGTCCAAACAAACATTTAGTACATGTTTACCCAGGAAAAATGTTTATTGCCGTACGTGACGCATAATGCGGAGTGTCATTTTTTGGCAAGGTCTTCATCTCCAAAAGATAGATAATAGGTAGTAGACCTGCAACATTCATATGGTTTTGCATGCGATCACAATTTATATAAAAGGACAAGCTCAGCCATGCAAAAATATTAAGCAACCTGCTTAAAGCAGCGCCAGCAAGGAGACAAGACAAGATGTAGAATGTTTTGTGTGATCATGCACATCTCCAGTACAGAGTCCTCTGTGTGCTGCTATACCAGCTGCCATAGCAGCACATCCAGCCCATGCTTCATTTGGACACAATGTACTCTCAAGCATAGTACCCCATTCTTATACTATCCAATGTACACAGAAATGAATGAGAAACTGGGGTCTTGCACCCTACAATAAACTTTGGACTACCCCAATTCATATACCCAAATCTCCAGAAAAATAGCCTCTATTAAATGTCAGAGCAATTTAAGTCAACCTTGCTACTCACTTAAAACTTTTAAAATCTGCAATATTGCATCAATACCTTCTCGGCAATCATGAGGCAAGTAAAACACTATTTGCAATTTTGAACTGTTGTTATAAATGTTCCATTATTATTAATAATAATTATGTCATCAAAATCTTTACAAGGCAGTGTCAGAAAAGAGTGGAAATGCTGTCTTGGCAGCTAAAGTTGTCTAGACATGCCAGGACAACTGTAACAGCGGCATTCTAATATAAAAGAATTACCGAGCCTCCCTGCACAACTTCCTGAAGAGACAGCCAGAAAGCCACATGCTGCTACTATAAGAATACCTTCTCCCTTGCTGAAAAATAGTCTGATGAAGTAGCAATTACGAATAGCAGGGAAGGTATTGTGTACCTGCATGCTTGGACATTTTCTATTTTGTCCCTTTGTAAATGCACAGAAAACATAATGAGGCATGGACAGCTTTTTATGCATTGATTCCATGGCTTGAATCCAGTAGCCTGATATACCTTCAGGTATATGTTGGGGTGGGGGGAACAGTTTCTGCTTTTCTCTTGTGTATTTTCCCCTCATTTATTTTAGCACCATTCTTCCACTATGTTCATCTATAAAACCAACTTATACAATTATTTAATTTAATTATGGAAACAATACTTTTTATCACCTTACTGTGGATGCAAGTGCCACTTGATTCCAGCAGTAATGATTTCTTCTTTTTGTATTTGTCAAGGTCTGTATAAATGGGGAGAAAGAAAATTAAAAGCAAGAAATCTGGGCAAGAGTGCCTTTTTTTATTAATGCACTTTTGTATAGAATTCGAGTTCTGTGACTGAATCTTTCATAAAGCTACTCCAAGGACAGAAAGATTGATCTAGATGCATCATTTGTAGCTTAATGAGTCCACTAGATTTATTGATCAGGACCACATAGCCACTTGCTCAATATAGGCACCATCCAGCTTTTCATCCTGCAGAGTAGCAGAGTCACTAGCCACATATGGACATTCAAATAACGTGTAGGGGAATAAAGCACGTGCCGTACCCTACCCTCAATATCTCAGTGCATGTCAAGACCACCAGCTCCACTCATTGATATTTCTGCATTTACCAGGTCAGTTTGAAGGGGGGTTCTAGGCACTTTTGATGGAATGTGCATAGAAGCACCCCTGAGGCTGGCAATCCAATGAGATAATGATTCCCAGTCACAGATAGGACTCTTAACCACATTCATCTGAATGCACAAAGGATCCCCCTTCATATCTTCCACCCAGTGTGGAGGTCTGCAGTGTGTATTGCAAAGGATTGGATTAGATAACCCTCAGGGTCCCTTCCAGTTCTACAGATCTATGAGGCTGTAGCTGAAGGAGATGTGAGGCAAACATGTGTTTCCCCAACTTCTCCCCCAACATACTTTCAGGTGAATGCCTGAATAGGACTACCAATGTGCAAACTATGCTCAGCAGTCCCAAAGATAACAGTAATGGCAATGTAGGAAGCTGCCTTATACTAAGTCAAACCATTAGTCCCTTTAGCTTAGTGTTATCTACACTGGCTGGCAGCAGCTCTCCAGGAAATTTTGCCTTGGATATATCGCTATTTCATGATTTCTCTCTTGTCGCCTTTTGAACTCTTGCAACTTTTTCATACAAAATCATTTCTGTTGTCTGTCCCCCTACCATATTTTTTTCACTGGTTCATGATGGCCCCAGTCCTGTGAGATGTGATAGTTACAGGATTCTGCTAAAAGGTAAAGGTAAAGGACCCCTGACAGTTAAGTCCAGTCATGAATGACTCTGGGGTTGCGGCGCTCATCTTGCTTTACTGGCCGAGGGAGCCGATGTTTGTCTGCAGAAAGTTTTTCCGGGTCATGTGGCCAGCATGACTAAGCCGCTTCTGGCAAAAGCAGAGCAGCGCACAAAAACGCCAACCTCCTTCTAAAACCTCTTGTTTTATCAGCTAATTTTAAACTTAAAAGCTACGTATAAAAGTATTATCTGCTATTCTTCTTAGGTGCAATCATTATTACTTTTTTAAAGAAATAGAACATGGCAAGAGAAACGAAAGATTCCACTTTATATAGCTGCCAATCACTCACACTTATAATGAGGTTAAGTCATGCATTGTCTGGTATAGCTACCGTTAATCACTATCTGTGCTTAATACGTGCATTTAGTAGAGAATAAAGTTAATGTGTCTTTGAAGGCAAAATGCAAGTGGAATAATTTTTTGTGGATAGCATCTGAATATAGATCTTCATGTAGAACTGCAATATATTTATTTTATTTGACACTATATACCACTTGATTGTAAGAAAACTTTTAAGCAGTTTATATAAAATATATAAAAACATTAAAATTCTTAATGAAAACAGCAAAATATATATTCTAAATATATTCAAAAGATGATTAAAGAGAGATAAGACACATGTAACTTCTACATGTTTGGATAGACTTGCTTAAATGAAAATATTCTAAGGAGGTGTCAAGGTGAAGGTGCCTGCCTGATTTCAATAAGCAGGGAGCTGCCACACTAAAACATCAATTTCTTATAACAGAGGAACAGTTATTATATGGGACCTGTAATACTGCCAGGTCCACAGATCAAAGCAGTCAAGTGAGTAAATATGGGGTAAGGCAATCATTCAAGTAAACAGCACCCAAGTTCCAAATTCAAAAGTGCTTAAAGATCTAACTTTCAAATGTCATTATAAATCATTGCTTCATAATGTGTTGAATATGAACAAATTTGACATTATAGTTGAGATCCTAAAAATTCTTAACATGGAAGTCTCACTGAAATGAGTTTGCTTCCCTTCCCTTCCCTTCCCTTCCCTTCCCTTCTGCACTAGGTTTCCAAGGCCCAAGTTATACACGGGGTGAAAGATGTTGACATATGCACATTGTGGTTTATCTTGTGTCCTTAAGAATTCCATATACTCTGCTTTCCTCTTTTGCAGTGTCACACACACATTACACTCAAACACACAATACTGTATTTGTGCACGTAAAAACCCAGTAAATAGCAGCTGCCTATTTTTTGCCAGTATCCACAGCTGTGTTGTGCACTGTCTATTCTACAGTAACAGGGAATGATTTATTTTATGTGTCTTTTATAGTATAGTTAAATCACTTACTGAAATAAAAGTCTACTTTGCAGTGAGTCAGCATTGCTTCTAGATAAATTTGTTATTAGTAAGTAACACAACAAAACAAAACAAAACATAACAAAAGACCATTGTACTGCCTGCTGGTATGGAATACTGATAGTTTACTGTAATCCCCATATGAATTCTGAAATATTGATGTACTGTAGCAACTACAGAAGAGCCTAGGGTTATTACAGCATGATCCACCTGTGTGCTACAAGTATGATAACTTTCCAAAATAACAAAGGGCAGAACGGAACCTGATGTACTTGAAAGCCTGTTCAGAATTTCAAATATAGGAATTCTAGAGAATGAAAAAGGGAAAACTTTATTAAGTCATCTTGTGCAGCCCCCTGTTAGTGTGGGATTGTATATTATACCTTTATGCTGTATTTTTGTAGGTTTCCCTGAAGAAGTTTTTGATATGAGTAATAGAGGGGGAGTCATTTTTACAGAATTTTACAACTAGACTGTTGGCAGGTGATAGCAGCAGCAGCCCTGAGAATCACTGCAAGATAGTTTATGTGATAGTTTATTTTGGTACTGTCTAAACTTCTCATCACAGATATAGATGGTATCTATTCTCTCTCTCACTCACACTCTCTCACACACACCATTGTTTATATGATGACAGTATAACATCTTATCCAAACATAATTAAAGGCAAATATTACAGACAGCATTGTAGAAATCAAAGCGTTAGAACATGTAAGAAACAATTACAAATCTCATGTTCTCTAGCACTATGCATTCCTTGCCATTCCATTGCCCTTTATAATTAATTGTATAAGTAATGGAATGATGGACATAAACCTGGGAGACTTGAATTTAATTCTCATTTCAGCCGTATGGGATGACAGGGTAGGCCAGTGTCTTATCAGATTTCCATAGAGAGGGAATAATAGTAATCTGCCTTTCAAGGAAGATGATAAAGATAAAATCCTATGTAAAGGACAAACATATAAAGTCATTATTCTGAATGAATAAGAAAATGAATAAGAAAAGGCACACAATTTCCACAGAGGTTTATGCTTTATGTCTGATCACTGGGTTTTACATACACTCAACCAAAATGATAAGCTGCACGTGCTTAAATGTACCTGGGGGTGTAATATACTAGCAGTTGGACTTTTCTTAAAGAAAGATTGTTTAGCTAGGATTGCATCTTTGAAGACTTAATAAGCTTTAGAAAAGACGAACCACCTTTCCAACTTCCCATGCTCTCCTAGGAAGACTCAGCCCATGAGCTTTCTGTATCTATCCAAACCAAGAGCTATATTCTTGTTTCTGATGTATTTTAGAAGAGTTATATTCTCTTCTAAAATACATCAGAAACAAGTGACTCACATCACGCCTTCCAACTTCAAGATGATGGAACACACTTGAGTGAAGTCAATACCAAGAGGATCAGTCAATGACTAGGAAGAGCATTGTTAACAGGCGTTGTTTCAAGCAGCAGATTCCTGAATAGAGTGCAATGTTCTGAGCTCGCTCTTTCTCCTTTAAGAATATTCTCTGTTTTTCTCCTTTAAGAATATCCTCTGTTTTTCCAGAGCTAGTTTGGCACCAATGTATTAAAGTATAGAGAAATCATTCTCCTCTCCTCTCTGTCATATTTTTCCACAAGAGGACAAGTAAAATGACATAGTATTAGGCTCTTTAAGTTAGTGATTGTGGTGACTTCACATTATGTTCCAAGAAAGGCAGTTCTCCCATCAGTTGCAAAAACATTCAGTGTACGAGTGATTAAGTGAAATGGCTTAAGATCCCTGTTCTGTAATGTGGAGACTCTCACACTCTTCTTTATTCATTTGTTAATTACACTGGTGTCTGTCTACAAGTATCACAGGAAAAATATACCCTAAGTGACTTGTACAGCTTCAGACAATACACAGTGAGAATGCCATTAGTTGGTCTCAATAGTTTTTTGTTTCTAACCCTGAGATCACTTCTCATGACCACACAACCTTCTGCTCATTTATTCTTTTAACCTTTTGGTCACTCACAACTCAGCAGGCAACAAAATTCATCTGAATTCTGTTTAGATGATGGCCTTGAGTGACGTCCTGTAGTGCTATGACTAATGCAAAATGAGTAGACTGACTCAATCCACTTCCCCAAATTCATGTCACACAGAACACCAACAGAGCTAGCGTTAATTATCACTCTAGTTGGCAATATCAGAAGGGAGGCCAAGGACTAAATAAGTGTGGCAATTAAATTACACACTTTTGATGCTGTATCTCCAAAATAAAATGATAAGAGATATATTTTTGCTGCTTCTCTTTATAATACCTGCCCTATGCTGGGTGCTTTTCCACTCTGCTTGATTCAAGCTTTTATGAGATTGCAAGAAAGAAAGAAAGAAAGAAAGAAAGAAAGAAAGAAAGAGAAAGAAAGACCCTATAAGACTTTTGTTAGTTAGATAAAGAGTCACACGGAAACTTCATACTGTATCATAATTATTATATTCAATGAAATCCAAACAGAAATATAGGGCTGCTACACACAAAAGTGATAAAGTTATTAGGATCATTCAGCCATAGATCCTCTGTATTGCTATCATTCAAGTTTGGTTTACTCTTCCTTGTTCAGCACACCACAGTATCCAGGCACTGGTTTGGCGTCTCCTTGGCTTCTTTTGATTTGGATGTTACCGCAAAAGAGAGCAGAGTGTCATCAGCAAACTGATGGCACCTTGCCCCACTGCTTTGTGGAGGGAGGGAGGGACCCAAAGCCTGTACTACAGGGCTGTTCCAGGAGAATACAGTCTGTGCTATCAAAAGCTGCAGAGAGATCAAGGAGGAGGAGCAAGGTCCCATGCCCTGGTCTCATTCTTGATAAACATCATCCGTCGGGGTGACCAAGGCCAATTCAGTCCCACAGCCAAGCTGAACCCAAATTGGCATGGGATCTGATAATCCATTTTATCCCAGAATGCCTGCAGTGCCTCCACAACCCTCTCCACAATGTCCCCTAAAAAGGAAATATTTGTGACTAGTCAATTGTTAGTCCAAACCAACATGTTCAGGGCTGGCTACACCACCACATTTTTTTCAATGCAACAGGGACCTCTGCCTCATGCAATGAAATACTAACCACTTTCTGGATCCAACCAGTCAAGCCACCTCTGCTAGATGTTGCTCAGTTGCCAGGGCTTTGTAACTAAAACCCCAGGCGGTTTGGGAATACTGGGGGTGGAGTAGACTGCCTGCTAAACCTCAAACCCTGGCTTGCCTATAAGGATGCAAATGATTTATTTATTTTAAAGCCATAAAAGTGCTAGCCCTATTAGCATGCTCGGAATTCTGACATTCACTGGCTGTAGAAACACAAGGGTATGTAAGGGCTGTGACTTCAGCCACTGAATTTATCCCAGTTTGGGCACAACCCACCATTAGTGTGGAATGGAGAACCCAAAATCCAGTTCCTAATAACAGCAGCATGTGACCAAAGGTGCAGGCAATCAGCTACAAAGTAACATTTTTAAAAAGTTAGATCAGACAGCAAGTATAAATGCTAAGTACAGAAAGGCTTTAGGGGAAGAAGCAATCAAACTCACCAGCTATTAAGAAAAAATACAGCTACTCCTTTGTTGGAGCAGAATAATTTCGCTTTCAGTTGGTAATACATGGTTCTAAGTCATAAGCCACCACTCCAACTCTGGATTCACCCCACGGTGCTTATGTTCTTCAGCAACCAGGGAGCCCTAAGCAGATAATGGAATTCTTTCCTCTTGAAAGGATAGAACACTTTTTCTAACATGGAAAGCACCCCAATCTCTACCATTTGCCTCACTGTGTAGCCTCATGATCAGAGAACCCAAGTGATGATTAGAGTCTTAACCAACGATGTACGTAAAAACCCTACAGTACACTCTCTGAAAACTGTTGGTAACTGGATCAAAGCTTTTAAAATCTTACCTTTTTGTGGCAAATCTGTTGCTAATTTGCATGTGGATCAGACAAGAATATTTTAGGCTTTTTACCTGTTTCAAAGTATTCTTTTTCTCTTCCATTTTTTCCCACATTATCCTCATTAACTGACATATTGTATCTATTTTTAACATCTTAGTAATTTTCAAAAAGATTGTGCCCTGGAATGTCACCTGAACAGATACTTTCTTTTAGAAGTCTTCGAGAATGTTAATAGACTCTTTGATTCCTTTCGCTCAGTTGTTCAGTAATATGTATCATAGTGACACAAGAAGACATTTCCCGTAATTTATAAGACAAAAGTAGATTTTGTTGGACTGCCGGAAACAATTGCTATTCTGTAACATAAATAATATCAGCAGCAGTACTGTAATTCTAAATGAGCAGGAACTATTTGTGAGTCTGTGTCCATTGTATTAGATACCACTTTGTAATCGAGTAAGCTTTGAAAGTGGACGTTGATTTATATCTGAAAGTCAGGTCATTGTCCTTATGCCACCACTTTTAGTTCAGAATATATAAAGTAACATAAGCAGCACATGTAAAATCAATCTCAGTCTCACTCACATCTCATCTTGCATATCTGCATTAGAAGGTGCTAGCTGAAATGTGCTTGCATTCTCTCTCGTCATATACTGTCAATAAGAAGGAGCAGTCATGCAGTTATAATGAAGCAAGTTGGTCAAAAACAGTTCAGCAAGCAAAGTTTTATAAAGCACAATTCAAATTAATAGCCTTTTACAAAAGAACTCACTTCTTTAAGTCTTCTTTAAACATTGATGAATAGGATGTTTCTGAATTGCCAATGTTAATTGTGCTAGGATCGTGGTTGTAGTTCATTGGGGTTTTTGTTACTGACTTCAGTGGGATTTAAAGTGGGCCTTTTAATATATAAAGATATTATGTTTTTCAAAATGTGTATTCGAATCAGCTTATAGCCTTTTCTTTTCAATGGGGCATTTTTGCTTTTTGTAGGAAAAGGGATTTGAGAAAAGTATTGTTAATAAAGAAAAGAGTGATAGACTCACTTCACACTTGAGTTAATTTCTTAACCACCACAGCATAGCAACTTATTATATACTTATAAAATGCAATTATAGTACCTGAATGACTTAAAAATATTTCTCCAAAGGGGACAGCCATGGCTGGTAGCAAAATTTTATATAACACCACAAATTGTGCCACATGTATACCTGTGGCATACAAAACTCACTGTGTAATTTGTTAGGCAGTATATTAGGCATTTTACACTATTTTTTGTAAACTGCACACACACAGAGAGAGAGAGAGAGAGAGCGAGAGAGAGAGAGCAGCCTATAAATTTTGTGATTATATATATGGCAAGTATTAAGCATGGCATCTAAGCATCTGTGCATCTAGCTTCATTGGCAATTATGTTTATCAAATCCACACTTGTAGCTATAATTTTAAAGCACATCTAATACTGTGTGTGTAAAAGTGGTTTTAACTATCCCAAGTGTTTCAGAGAGCTAAAAGGAACAGAAAACAAGATGTATAACATTTTTTCTGTATCCCATAGCATAATAGCCTGTGCGTCTTCCTGAAGCATAACAATGTAACTTTCTGGTTTCAACTCCAGCCCACTTCCCTCTTTTTAATTTTAATTTTCAAATTTCACTGACATCTTCAAACAGGGGGAAAAATGAGACTTCATGCAGCAGTTAACATGTTATCTTTTCCTTGCTGATATATTTTTATTTTTAGTTTCTTCACACACCACTAAGATGAGTTTTTGAGTTAGGTTGCAGTGAGAGAAGCCCAAATAAACTACTTGGGATGTATCAATATGTTTTAACACAGGAATTATATAAACCATTTCTGTATAGCTATACATCTACAGTGCAAGGTGTATACTTTATATTATAAGCAATAATCCTTGCCACACATTCATAAAATGCACAGAGATTCATGCAGCTACACACCCAACAAGAGAAATTATGCGTGATTTTAAAAATAATCCAGAAAACACGGAAGAATGTATAATTGAACACATGGGAGACTAACATGGAGGAAATAGATTTATCTGTCCATCTTTAGCAGACACACAATCTGGCACTAGGGCAAGACAGGAAGATGAGGCATATCATTCACTTCCTCTAAGTCCTTTTCTCACTCCAGTAGGAATCCCCATTAATTGCACTACCTCACTGGAGTGCTATGTAGCATATTGAAACAAGGCTTCAAAAGAGTTCTAAGTACTAAGGCATCTAGAAGACAAAAAGTTGTAAAGGCAGGATATACTTAACCTATGGAAATTGTGATTAAAGCTGAGTAGCTATTATTCTTATTTATGAAAAGGCGAACAGTTGTAATATTAAAATACCATTTAAAAAGGCAGGGGGAGGGAAAATACAGCAGTGCAAAGGTTGAGCATTTTCAAGCTTTTTAAAATACATCTCAGAAACATGAGAAGGAATAATTTAACCCACTTATTGATGGTGGGACAAGAAGCAAGGAAGAACTTATTGTCTGTAGAACCTGCTTTGCGAACAGAAGCAATGGTGTTGGCATTTCGTGAGACATTGGCCATGTGTCTGTTAGACAGTGCTTTCAGCGACGAAATCTCAGCCTAGCTTTCCCCATTTTACAAACACTAAAACAAAAATGAAGCCCCGTGTATTAAATGAGAGAAGGAGAAATAACAGTCCAAAAAAAAAATTCCTTTCACTAAATTATCTGGCTTTAGTTAAAGAACCATCTAAAGCTGGACTGCAGGGTAAAGCTGCTGTCTTTTGCTTTGAAGCGCCATTGGTAGTTCTCCTCCAGGCAGTGCTTCAAAGCCAAGTTATTTCTGTTCCTCACAGCTCAATTGTGTGACTCAGTAGCACCCTAGAAGGGGGTAGGTTGTTTTTAATTGCATCCCTGCTTTAAAGGACCCCAGCTGCTATGAAAAGACGGGAAGACCTGATGCATGAGGAATCAGGGAGGTGGCATAGATGAAAGGGTTAAGCAAGAAAGGAAGGGTTTTAAAATGTTCTCGCTTGCTAAATCCATAGCATCCTGTACATGCTCTGTTCTACGTTCTTTTTATAAAAAGGGGGGGATGCTGTCAAGATTTGTGGTAAATTGGTATTTTTTTAGTTTGGCAGTATAAAAGTGGGGGAAATGACGAAATAATTTGATGTCTCTGTAATGGCTCTACAATTTGCATGACCGTCATCTATTTTGGGTACACAGTGTTTCCCACCAGTGTTTTAGCTGCAATCCTATAAACAATTACCTGGGAGTAAAACTCATTGTATTCAGTGAGGTTTACTAAAGTATGGACAATAGCCAGGCATCCTCTGTTTAAAAAAGAAATAATATTTGTAAAGTTTACAACACACACACACACACACAAAGTTCATGTTTTAGCTAATTAACAATTCAAAATTCATACTTCTCAAAATATGAAAGTATACTGACTTAACGGGTATCACAAAAAATGTTCATTATCACTTAAGGAATATTGTTTCCCTCTCCCGTAATAAACACGACCACTGGGGCGGGGGGAATCACCCACAAGCCTGTGAGTGGTGCAGGCTGTCTCTTCTGGCCTGAACAGGACACAAATAGGTTCCGCTGGCAGGTACCAAGGCAGAACAGGCAGTGGAATGGACCTTCCCTTATGTACCAGTAATGTCACATATGTCAATTTTGCATGCTGGCAGGTTGCCAGCAGGGTTCAAAAGCAACTCATATGCTGTTACCAATTTTCAACAGATCTGATACCTAGAAGACCATGGTGTCATTATCTGTGTCCTAGTCCCACAACTGCAGTGGGAATCCCTTGTTGAATTCCCTTGTCCACATTATATACAGCATTTTGGCTAATCCTCTTTAAAAGCAGTCAAAGTTGGTGGCCATCAATGCCCTCTGTGGGAGCGCATTGCATAGTTTAACTATGTGCTATTCTTTTGTGTGTCTGGAATTCTCCAACATTCAGCTTCATTGAATGTCCATGAGTTCTAGTGTCATGGGGGGGGGCAAGTGGCAGAGCTTCATGCTCTGGCACCAGGGGGCGGAGAGCAGGTGGAGGCTGGGCTGGCGCGCGTCCCGGGGGCGGGGGCACCCCCCGCAGGGGTGTGGTGTGCATCCTGGGGGCGGGGCACGCCGCCTGCATGGGCATGGTGCCCAGCATGGGCAGGGGGCAGCCGCGATGGCACCCCATCAGGATTGAACTGCCGGGGGCGGTGCGCTCCCCCTGCACTCCTCTTCCTCCACCAGTGGGGGAGGGATTTCTCTATCCACTTTCTCCATACCATGCATGATTTTACACATCTCTGTCATGTTGTCTCATTGCTATCACTCCTGTTATTGTGCCAGAATATAATGTGTAGCCATAAGTAGTGAGGCAATGTGATATGTGTAGCTGATTGTTGCTTTCAAAGGATGGGGAGCAAGATGGCTCCTAAGATCCTATTCAAATGAATTCTAAGCAGCTACATTTACACTACCTTATAGTGTGGTCTGACATGTGCCTACACAGAAGTTTGTTTCACTTTGTTCAAAGTGGATTACTTTTAAAATGAGTGTGCAGAGGATTGCAGATTTACAATCCTAGGCATAGTGCTATTGAGTTCAGTGAGACTGACTTCTGGGTAACTGCATATGGGATTGCAGTGTCCAACAGCTGGATCATGGCTGTAATATTTTGCGTGTGAAGAAGGTATTTTCAGAGCTCCATCTCACTCCTTTGTTTATAGACTTTCTTTTTGTAATAGTTTGGTTTTTTTTGAAGTAGAAAGCTGAATTTATGCTTAAGTTATCCATAAGCTATTTATTCAGCAGTGTGTGAAACTTTTTAGGCAGACTTCACAGTCTCACAAAACTGTCACAGAGAATATTAGTCACGATAGTATGATTCAAATAAAAAAAAGGCAAAGGAAAATCATGCCAAGGAAAAAAATGTGGTTTGATTTTTCTTTCCCAAGGTGCTCTGCAATTTTCCACTTTTTATGGATAATTTAAGTTGTCTGCTCCTGCTGCCTCGGGCCTGTCTATCCCCCACTGTGCTGAATCAGCATTTAAGGAAGCAGAGTTTCCTTTTTCCATATGTGAAGTCAGCAGTCCTTTGCTAAGAGAAGGTCCTGTTTTCTGGAGTGTCAGTTCAGCACAGCAGGGAAGAAGTGGCCTGGCGGCATTGGAAATATACAATTAAAACTTGCCAAAGTAAGGAACAGAACCTCAGAATGGACTAAAAGAACTGATATGGGTAGATGGAATTAAGATAATGTTTTTGAAAAAGTGCTAGTGGAGATGAGCAACTGCAATGATTGGGCTAACCTTAGTCTCAAATGTGTGAGAGATGGTTGTGATTTTTGTTAGTTAAGTTGCTAGGCTGTTCACAGTTACTTGGGAGTAAGCCCCAGTTTTTCTGAGTGGACAGTTCCTCAGCCAGAGGTGATGGAAAGGTACCCTGCATGTTTTCAACATTGCTCTTTCTATTCATACTTCACATGTTCAGAGAGGACCATTGCCATTGCAGTAGTATTGGTGGGTATGTTTTCCTTCCATCAGCAGCGCTGGGACATTTAAAAAAGTTTAAGTGCTTTATCAATCCAGTGTTGCTATGCTTGAACCAAAACCAAAGATCTCCAGAACTCCTTAGGCGGTACTCTTGATAGCTTCACATTGTGAGACCCGTTGGATACCTGTAAAGTTCAATTGGAAGGTTTGTAAAGCCTTGTGAAGGGCACAAACAAGTACCAAGCCCCCCCCAAACCCCCAACTTGTTGAAGTTGCAAATTAAAAAGAAACATATAAGCAAGAACACACACCACTCAGCCATTTCTTAATTCTTTTAATGTAAGAAAGAGACAAAGCCCTACTCCGTTCCCCCCTAAGGGGTTATATTAGAAAGCGAATCACTTTTATTTCCCTCTCCAAAAATTCCTGGACCTATTTGTCTGCAATTTGGCAGGCTTTGGATGGACTCGTGTGCCAGCAATTTTCACTTTGACCACAAGGTAAAAGGTTATAGCTGTGTTTAGATTCCCCATCTTAGCGAGTAGAGGAACAGAGAGCTCCACTATATACAGAGCGGCTTGGGAGCTCAATTACAGAATGAAGCGGAGAGCACAGAGTAACAGAAACAGAAGGGAATTCTAAGAAATGCTCAGATATAGGACAGATCTTGTGGCCAGTTCACACTCCTATTAAATACTATGTGAGGAGGGAAGTACGATTATTAAGGTTAATAATTAAGTAGGCCATATTGCCATGGAAGCTGTGTGAAATTGTCACAATTTGGACAAAGTTTTGCTTGGGTTTTTGTTTTTTTAACCTTTTATTTGTCCTGCTTCATTCTAGGCCAATACAAAAGCCCTACAATTCAGTATAATTTTTTTCTACCTAAACAAATGCACCACCAAAATAACTGTAAAATATTTCAAAACTCGAATGAATAAAGAAAAGCTGACTTGGCTGCACTGGTGCTTGGTTCTATAAACAAATGTCAAGAAAGAAAACAAATAAATAGAACTCTTCCATACATTTACCAAGAAGCATTTGTGTTTGCATTGGAAGAAAAAATAAATAACACTGTTCTCTGGAATTAGTTTATCCTATACCAGAACTAAATCCTGTTATCTCTAACTGTCAGTGTAATAAAGAATGTACCTATGGTTTCCAAATGAAATACCCAGTATTTCAACATCATTACAAATACTGTCATTGTCCTGCGGTTAGGAAGATTAAACCTGACTCTTCCACCAAACGGTTCTATTTTGGGCAAGTTGAATTTTAAAAAGCATGCTAATGGCTCCCAAAATGACACACTTGAATAAATCAAATTCAAGAATGTTCTACTTCTCAAAGTACAGTTTATTTTTAAAGAATGATTTTGACAAGTCAACAGAATTGCAGCAGATCAGTCAAAGTATATTGTTGTGCAGCAAGAGTCTCCAGGGGTTCCAGTGCTTTCCCAGGGTTTGGTTTTCTTTGAATGCAGGTCACTGTAGACTGTGATGTGTTTGGAATATATGCTTTCTCCTCCCCACATATACAACCTGAGCATAGGATGGAATAACATACAGCATTAACAGATCTTACTTCCCCATTAGGTTTATAGGAGGATCCTCAAAGCCATAGCTTGGGGTGTCAGCATAGAGGGAGCAAAGCAAGCCTATCTTTTCCAGCTCCCAGCTTCAGATGAAACTAAAATAAAGACTATCCCCATGGTTTATTGTTCTCCCACTGCTAGAAAGATGTGGAATCCAGCCAGGTGGAAGAGCACCACCAACCTGTTGTCTCTATAGCAACATGACTAACTGGCCATTCAGATAGGATACTTACAGCCCCCAGTTAGGGCAGTACACTTACCAAAGAAACCAGGTTGACTAGTTCAGCATTTCCCCTCCACTGCAGGCTCATAATCTTGCAGATTCAAAATAAAAGGATTGGTTGGAACCCAAAGATATCATTCAAACCAATCCCCCAAACCTATAAGATAGTGCATTTTTGAAAGGAAGCAGGTGGCATATTAATTTGAAGATACGGGGCATTAAAAATAAGTACAATATATAAGTGCAAGAGAATAAAAAATGCCATAATACCAAAACACAAATATTAGCACAACCCAGAGAATAGTAATTTGGTTTTGAACAAAATTATTGAGCGCAATTCTGTGGGCATGTTTTTCATGGAAAAATCAGTGGAAGGCTTTTATGTGTCTGCAAAGAAATGAAACCTCAGCTGTTTCATTAATTATTGCAGGCATAAATTTTGTGTGATGACTGTTTAAGGCAGAGCCACGGACAGAGGCTTAGCGTTTACAAGATGCATGTAACAGAAAATAAAGAGTAGCACACCAGACAGACCAAGCATTACATTACCTGAAGCAGGTGGAGGTGCAGCACCGACAGTGGAAAGGTGGCTGCCACCACGGTGAACAATGACTGAGCAACTTATTAGGGTGGGTAGTCATGAGGTGAGTGGCCCTGTAGGATCTCCTATACTTCCTGAGACACATAGTGAATGATCCAGAATTTAGACACATACAGTATAAGACAGAGGGTATGTATAAAGATTTAGATGTCCTTTTTGCAAGTCATGTAATCCCTATTGGAATTTCAGCTCCGGTGGGGGCGGGGCAGTGAATAGTTAAGAGTTAGGGGAAGTCTCATTGTACAAGCAGAAGATTCAGCATTGGATAAAACACTAAACTGTGGCTCTCACAATTTTTATCCTTTCCTTCCTTCTGGTTACATTAGCAGCTTCCATACGTTCTCCCAATGAATGAACCCTGTTACTAGGTGAACCATTCTTGAGAATGGTTTTATCTTGAATAATAGACACTACTTCATGGCAACGGAGATTGCTGTCCTATATGCACTTGCATGGGAGTAAATCTAAGTGAACTTCCTAGTAGACATGCATGTGATTGTGTTTCTCCTAGAGGAGCAAATAGCAATGTATGTTTGCTTAACGCTTGATAAGGAGAGAGGTTGTAAATTTCCATTAATATGTTTTCTTATTCGGCAAACTTTAAAAAAGAAGAAAAATCCCTGTTTATATTACTCAGAAATACAAGCAATCCAGGGAAACATCATTATCTGTATGTAGCCAGGTCACTCAAGCCAAATATTTGTTTTAATATATTGCTCTCCATGAAAATTATTTTGATTTTACACTATTGCAAACAACCCAGGGAACTTTTGACTGCCACCAAGTGGGAAAGCAAGCAGGCTTTGGTAAATCAGCTAAGGTAGCGTGTCTCTTCAGCATTCTTTCTTCTTAACCTGCCTTTTCACTGAAGTTTAGGCTTTCTGCATTTCTTAGTCCCTGTGGAATTAATTAACTCTATTTCTAGAGGAAAAAAAGAGGACAATTTAAATGTAACAGTGTTTGTAATTCTCATTTTGAACAGAAAATGTCTAATCAACACCTGCAGTCTGGATGTGCATTAGTTTACTCTGCATGCTACCTAGAAAATATAGCCTAATGATGCTTTTGATAGAGTAAACATTTGCAAATGAGGGTTCAATTGCATATATTCCGTGTGCTGTATAAACAAAGCAAACGAGTTCAATTTGTGTGGCTTTCTTCAGATTGTGATAGGAAATGTGTGATAGAGAACCCCCTTTGGAAACATTTAGATATCTTGGAATTAAAACTGTCCCCACAATTGTCACGATTGTCTATTACATAGAGGTAATAGCAACTGTGTCTCTAGGAGCCTATCCCAGTGTCCCTTCAAAACCAAAATGCATCCTACAAACCTGATTAGGCAACCATCTGATAAATGTCTGGTTAAGCGGTGGTGATCATTAAGAAATGTACCTGATTTGATGTAAATAGATTTGTTTTATACCACGTTTTCCTTTAGCATGTATAACCATGTGACTGGAAAGGTCAGTTTCAAAGATCCTTAATGCACAAATGACACTAAGATACACCACTCCTCTCCTGACTGGCACAACAGAGAGTGACAGAAGTATAATCTACACCCAAAGTATGCCTTCCTAAGCAATTTCCCTAATGGATGGCCATACTTTGGGATTGAACCAGTGCATATGGAGAATGGTGTCAACAAGGGAACTGTAGTAAAATGGAGATAAAGATTTTTTTAATACAAATCTCGAAGACCTTGACAGAATATGAGTTTCCGTCATGCTTTGAGCTTAGAACAAATGACAACCTTGATACTACAGAACTTGGAGGCTATTATCGATTATTCTTTCTTTGGATCTTTTCCATTTGAAAGCAAACTTTTGTAAGGGAGTATGATACTGATTTTGTCCCTGTTAACCACTGATTTCTTGAACGTGTTTCTAGAAATTCTTAGTACAAAGTAATGCTTTGTTTGTTTTTAAAGGAAATGATCTTTAAAGTAATATGGCTCTGAAGATAAGTAACACAGTGCTGTTAGAAACTCATTTGATGACATGAACATTATATCACTGTCATTACCAGGTGGAAGCTTATATATGGAGCCCAGTTTTATAAAAGATACACTAGAAATGTGGCTAGTCCTAGCACTTCAAGAGGCTTGGCAAAAGCTTAAGAGAATTTGATTCAAAACCCCTGAAGGTGGCATGTGTGTTTTTGTTCATTCCAATACTTCCAAATTCTTACAGTGTGTTTTTTCCCCCCAAACAAAAAATTGTTTTATTTCACACAAAAGAGGTTATTCAGAGAAACACTGCAATGTACTGTATTCTCTTTGTTTCTCTTCTTGAGAGTAAATGGAAAGTGGCTTAATGAGGATCTGTATTACCAACAGGTATTTATGATAGGCTTCCATACCTTTGTGTTAGAAACAAACTGAAATGATTTAACGTAATAAACTGAAAGTGTGAAATTAGAGCCCCATGATACATTGTTTCACTGGGTGCTTAAAAAAAAGGTTCAATAATAGTACTAAACAGTCATTACTGATTATCAAAAGCAAAACTCAGTATTGAACTGTGTGTTTTCTGCATTGCAATTACTAAACATGCAGTTTTTAAATAATTATATGAATGAATTTCCTAAAATAGTTCTCTACATATTTTGGTAATTAATACTGTATATTTTTGCCAAATCACCAAATAATTTATTAACAGTAAGACCAGCAACAGCTTGTCAGAATGAGAGGGAAATAACTAACATTTAAGGAATGTAGTAAACATAGAGCTATTCAGCATGATTTCACAGTGCATGAAACACAAGCATTGAATTCATTTTTAAAGCTGTGTTAATCTTTGACATTTGTTCAATTTTATTCTCAATTGTTGTCTGCTTCTCTCAACAATATAGGAAACTGGAGCTTTGTTACACTGGGTTCTTTTCTATAGCCTCTGCTCTTTTCCACAAAGGTTTAGCAACTGTGCAAACCAAGCTTAAGGAACATTCTAGAACATTAACCATAGAGCTTCAACTCTTACCCTGTCCAATAGAACATTCTTGCATCTGTAAAGACCTCAAAGGTTGGGTCTGCCATCTTTCCACACAATTCTCATCTAACCTCCCCATTGCATTTAGAGTGTGTAGGAACCAGCTTAGTTCTGAGGAGATGGCGGGGGGGGGGCAGTGGAACCGGTTACACCAATTTCAGTGCTTTACATTTATTATCAGTGTAATAAATAAATAATGATACGAGGAATTCTTTTCACACTGCCTGAACATTACCAAGCAAGCATGTCACCATTGCTTTTTTCAAGCTTAACATCCTCGTGGGAACAAGTGCTGACAGCTACTAATTCTGACAGTACTATGGAGTGCCCCACACTATGAGTGGGGGAGGGCAATACAATAGCAATGGTTTGATTGTTTCTAGTATCCATCAGCAAGAAAGCTGCCTTGTGTTCCAAGCCCTCTTCCACATATTGTGAGGGGCCTAGTGCTGACCTTTAGTGTCAATGGCAACTTTATTCTCCACATAACTCACTAAAATGGTATCTTATTTCCATCTCACTCATCCTTCAGTTCTCAATTCCTTCTGACCTACAAGAAGTCAGGAAACTGTTTCTCATGGCCTTGATGTTTGCAGGCCCATCAGTTTTTTTTTAATCAGGACAGCTTAAGGAGAATAGCAATCAGGTTGTATCTGTTAACGCTAATCCTAAGCAATGTTTCTGAACTTCCCCTCAGAGGCCTTTTCATTGGCTATTGTCCACATACACCATTTGCTATGTGTTGGCAAATCAACCTCTGCTGCGAAACACCATTTGACTGAGGACCTGGCTCTACCTTCTGTTTTTCTAGAGGCATTTTTCTGACTTTTTTATGTTAAGCAGCCACCTGGTCCATTCCATCAACATTTGTAAAACACTATGCTGTAGATATGTGAGCAAAACTAGACATAGTCTTTGTCAGAGCAGTTCTTCATAGCGTATATTATTTCCCTGTTTATATAAAGCTTTCCAGAAACATAAACATATAGTTCTATATGGACACTATTGTTGTTGTCGTTTAGTCGTGTCCGACTCTTCGTGACCCCATGGACCAGAGCACGCCAGGCACTCCTGTCTTCCACTGCTTCCCGCAGTTTGGTCAAACTCATGCTGGTAGCTTCGAGAACACTATCCAACCATCTAGTCCTCTGTCGTCTCCTTCTCCTTGTGCCCTCCATCTTTCCCAACATCAGGGTCTTTTCCAGGGAGTCTTCTCTTCTCATGAGGTGGCCAAAGTATTGGAGCCTCAGCTTCACGATCTGTCCTTCCAGTGAGCACTCAGGGCTGATTTCCTTAAGAATGGATAGGTTTGATCTTCTTGCAGTCCATGGGACTCTGAAGAGTCTCCTCCAACACCATAATTCAAAAGCATCAAAAGCATGGACACTATATAGGTATTTAAAAGTTGCATATCTGTAACTGGTGTTTTTTTAATGCAAGCATTCCAGTCAGAATTCTTTATTTATTACAATTGAATCCCATCTTTCCTCAAGGAACTCCGGGTTTGGTACATAGGTCTCCTCCTCCCTGTTTTATTCTCATAACAACCCTGTGAGGTAGGTTAGCGTGACTGGCCCAAGGTCACCCAGTGAGCTTCATGGCCAAGTGGGGATGCAAATCCAACCCAGTGCTCTAAGTACTAAACCACCACTGGGAACTCATCCACACTTCCACTGTATAGAAAGCACAGGTCCAAGCAATTTCCCCCTTGCCCCACTCCTGTCCTGGGGGGAAAACCACTTTTTAGCTCTAAATTGGATCAAACCTGAATTGCCGTTTGCTCTGATTGAACACTAAACAGCGTTTTTCCCAGGGAAAAGCAGTGGGACAAAAGGAAGTGTGGCCCTGACTCTCAACTCTCAATCACTTTTTGGTTCTTTACTGTATTTCCTTGGAGTATTCTGTTGGAGGAGGCCACATGCTGGTGGAGCCACTGATCAATGGAACCAGAGTTAAAGTGGGCAAAGCCAAACACAAACGAGGAACCCCATCTCTTCTCTTCTCTTTCTTTCTTTCTGCCAGTATCTTTCTGTCTCCTTGCCATATGCATGGAATTAGGCTAAGAGCTTCATAAATGTATGATAAAAGCTGCAAGTTGTTCACCCCTGCTTTAAGGTTTTCCATTATAATACCTAAGAGCTTTTCTTTTTTTACTTTATGCACCCCAGCTTCCCTTTTGCTTATTACATGCTATTTCTCCTTTGATGTTTGTGTGCTCCCAGCTGTTTTCTTTGTTCTGCATCTAAGTTTTTCTTTGCCATTTATTCCCATCGCATGGCTGTGGTGATGCATCATGATGTCATTTGGATAAAAACTCTACATCCTCCCCACTGCTTCTTACTTTGGGTAATTGTGTTTCCGACCAGAAATGGTGTATTGTCTGCAAGTATGATCCTATCAACAGGAAGTTTGCTTTCTGTGCACCTTATCTAGGAAAAACCTTTAGATATGAAGATTTATAATAGTCTACAATGGCTGAACAAATGCTAATTTTACGTTTTGTAAGATAAAGGTTTTGCCATCTATTCCACAGTCTACAAAAAACCCTTTCTCTAGCAAGGTTTCTCCTAAGGCTACTCAAGAAAAAGTGTTGATAAATAAAACACCTTTTTCAAACTATGTCAGTTCTTTTGTCTCAGTCTCTTCTACCCACAAGCAAAATTTTAAATAGGGATGAGTGAATCAATTTCTGATCTGTGTCACTTTTGCATGCAAGTTCATTCCATGCCGCTTCCAAATTAATCTGCAATTATATATATTTTTTAAAAATTGCATGGAAATCACATTTAAGTGCCATCCTACTGGCAAGCCTTTCTCTCTGCTGGCAGAGAAGCTCTTAAACCTCTTCCTACAGTCCTTCAAATGGTTGAATGCTGGCTGCAGAATTGCTCCCTAATTCTTATTGAAAGACAATGAACTTTTGGACTATAAATCAAGTCAAAACAACCTTTCCCCCCATATCCCTCAATAAAAAATTGCAAAAGATTGTGATTCCTCATTCATGTCCACCTTTTCCCCCACAGCAGTTAAAGAAAACATAAGAGTTCAGTGTTGGTTTGGGGTTTTGCTTTTTGCTTTTTTTGTAAAAAAATAATAATAATTGTCAGGATTTGCTTTGTTCAGACCTAGAAACACCTTGGATGAGGAGATGGGAAAGCAAGAGCTCCTAGCAGACTCCTCCTGCATTGCCAGCAAACCTGAGGATCAATGCGTCCTTACCACAGATCTCAACCTCACTCGCCTGTGTTCCTAGTTAGCTTTCACATCCCACCTAGTCACCTCCAGGTCTACAGGATCAGAGGAGATTGCAAAACAAGCAGGAGCTTTGGAGTGCCAATGAAATGTCCAACAAGCTACTTAGGAGATGGTAGAATCATGTGTAAATACCTGCCCAGAACAATGCCTGGTTGAAAGCCATGAAAGGTGGAGCTGCCAGGTCTAAAGAAATTTGCCATCTCAGCTGCTTTACTTTTCAAGCAACATCTTAGAACTCCTATTCCACAATTTAGGATTTATATGTTGTGCTTTTAGTTTTCACCAATTGATAGTTTTTCTGAATTAGCATATGATACTAATATGTTAAAATTGCATGCAGCAGGTGGACAGAAAATGTCTTAATTTGTGGATATTGAAAGAAGAGTAGTTTTGTACATATATTATTATTTCCTCATATAATAAAACTGTGTTTTCCTTAAATGTGTCTCAGTTAGGTAGTCCCCATATATCAAAGTTCCCAAAATGATACGGGTTAAATACCTCCTCATTCAGCACAGATGCTAATAATGATATATTAATTCATTGTTAACATTTTCCAAAGTTTATCCCATGCTTCCAATAAAGCACTTACTATAAATGGTCCTAATGTGTTCTGTTTATATCTATTGCTCTTTTATCAAAATTAGATCACATAATGGTAATTTACAGCAAACAAGTCTGAATGGGAGGGAAGAACTGCCATATTTCTCTATCCAGTCAGACTGCTGAATTGGCTTATTTGTATGATAAGAATGAAACAAGTTTAGTATCCCACTTCCTTCTCTTTTCTACTGATTACAGGGGGATTGCTTTTGTTTCGCTTTTTAGTAGTAGCATAAAGACCAGAAAAGTTCAGATAATAGACAATAATGATAAAAAAGTATTTTTCTATGGGTCTTATCAACAAAAATTGCCAAATACCTAATAGGTTGTGTAGTGCAATTAATTAATCTAATTACATTGCTGATAGGGAGGTTGCCTTTTCCAATTTAATTGCTGTAAGTTTAGCCTTATCTTTGTTCAATGAAATCTCCAGCATGTTTCCAAAGCAATAGTATGATCAATCTGCTCTTAGACCTTCAATGTGCAAAGGAAAGGGGAACTCTCCATAGACCTCACATAACTCTCTAAATCCTTCTCCCCGTCAGTCTTTGGCCAGCACATCACTAACCATTCAGGCATTTCTTACAACAGAAAGCCTTTTGGTAGTTCCCATACTAAGATTCATGTAGCCCACAGTTCTATAGTGGGCAGGTTACTTGTGCTTGGAGCAAATTTAGATTACCTGCAGCGTTCTGGAGATCAGAAAGGGTGACAGATGCCAGCACTGAAGCACCATTCAGCCTCCCCTCCCAATGGTTCATCATAGCTTGTAATTCCCAAGTAGCTAGTAGATTGTGAAATCCAATTAAACAGTCTAACTGGGAAATAAAATCAGTTAAATTCATTTTTTTAAATCCTCTGGTTCATTATCTTTTTTACTTTTGCTGTCAATTGCATAAAATAGTTTAAAAGTATATGTCAGAATCACCCCAAAATGTGTTGTAATTTCATTTCAGAGGGACAGCATGTTTCAGAAGCAATTGCTCCTAAGGTGATCTGGGATCGGTTACAATGCTAATCTCACAGCTGTCTCTCTTACTAGCAGTACTCATAAATCATATGGTGTGTAATAAGAGGAGCAAGTTGGAGAGGTTAGAAATCTTAAGAAAACTGTGACAGAAGTGATAGATGATATTAAGTGACTACATTCTGAAGATATTTTATATTTTATAAAAGGGAATGTGTTGCATTGGAGATAAGGTCCTTTTGCATCCCCCCTCCCCTTCTGAATATCAACACTGGGAGATGTGGAATGCTTCTGTAGCATTTCCAGATGAGTATCAAAGTTGTGCTTTATGAAGGAAAAAAGGCAACTGAGATTTAAAAGTGAGAAGAAATCCCCATGAATTTGGTTGTTACAGCACGAGACTACTTTAATAATGCAGACTGTTACACAGTTTAAACTTTTGTATGATCATTGCATCTGTATGCTATGCACAGGCACAATGCAGTAAAAGGTGTCAGATAAATTATCCAAATTCACACAGGCAGAAAATTGGGGTGTCCCAGAACCCCAGAGTTCACCCTGGAATCAAACCCCTCTCTTATATGCTTAGTCAGGTTTGTGGCAAATTAATAATGGGGTTTCTGGCAGCCCCAAAATGTAATTTTTATTCATAATTTGCTGACATACTGTACATAAGAACATAAAATACAGTAACATTGAGCATAAGAAGAGTCCTGCTGGGTCAGGTCAAAAGCCCATCTAGTCCAGCATTCTGTTCTCACAATGACCAACCAGGTGCCTGTGGGAAGCTTGCAAACAGAGCCCAAGTACAAGAGCATTCACCCCACTTGAGAGTCCCAGCAGCTTGTATTCCACTGTCTCCAACAGTGGAAGCAGAACACAACTACACCAGAGGCCATTAGGAGGAATGAGAGGGAGGTGCTGGAGGTGTACAACATCCTGCCCTCCACTTGCATCAATATAACTAAATTGTGTTCGACTATACAAAGCATGGGTAAATTTCATTACCAAAGAGAGAAGGCTGCATCTAGGGAAGACAGGCAAGAGAATCATGTGAGTGAGACCTCCTCATTCTGTCTTTTATTGTGAGAAGTGAAATTGCAAGGAAGCAGGCAGAGGGCTTTCTCAGTAGCTGCACCCGCCCTGTAGAACATCCTCCCATCATATGTCAAAAAGATAAAGAATCACATGACCTTTAGTGGATATCTTAATCTACATCAGGAAGCTTTTAAAGTTTGATGTTTTGTTGTCTTTATACTTTGTTGGAAGCTGCCCAGTCAGATGGGCGGGATACAAGAAATTCATTTTGTTGTTGTTGTTTGAAAGCTGAGTGAGTGGGATGTATCACCTGTTGGGACATCTTTGTAGCTTCCATTCATTTGTGAACCTCTTTCCTTGCTCATGAACCTTGGAATATGAGCTTCTGGAACCTGTTTGCTTTGGAGTGTGTACTGCTATTAGCCTGAATAAAGATCTCTGGCTTGCTGGCTTGCAAGAGTCACTGCCATGCTTTGGGACAGGAGCCTGAGACTTGCCCTCATCACTAGATAGATTTAGCTGACACTTAAGTATTTTCCAGTTCACCAAATGAATTTTCAATCAGGAACCAATAAATCTACATATCATTGAGTTGGATCCAGGGTGTCCCTTCCATTAACAAAATAATTCCATGAACAGAGATCCAGTAAATCCACTGGAGGTAATTTGTCTGATTCCTCCTTTGCTCTGCAGCCTTCCAGAACAACTTTTGAAGGGATTTGGGGAACTCCAGAGGAATGAGGAACTAGTGAAATTGCCTTCATCTTACTCTAGCTAGAGCATCCTGTAAATGCTAGATACAACCCATTGGTGAGGGGATTTTTAGGGGAGGTTCTATTGGTTACTGAGCAAGAACATCAGCTTATAAACCAATAAAATACTTTCCTGGTTACTAGACTGACTAAAACAGGAGAAATCTACCATCAAAAGGTTTATTTCATAAACATGTCTACCTTTTTCTGGCATACTAAACTATTCCTTTGGTCATCATGGCCCAAAAAATTCTGAAGTACCGTATTTTTTGCCCCATAGGGCGCACCTAGTTTTTTTGGCGTGGGGCTGGGGCGGGGGAAGCCCGAGCTTCCCCCAACCCCAGACCCCAGAACTGGCTGCTATCCGCAAGCCTAGGGAACATGGCGGGAAGTCACACCGGTCTCCCCAGGCTTGCGGATATCTGCCCGCGCTGAGCGCGCCCCAAGCTTTGGGATGCAGGCAGCTCTCCGCAGCTGCAGGAGAGCTGCACAACTTCACGCAGCTCTCCCACAGCTTGCGGAGAGCTGTGCGAAGCTCGAAGCCTGGTGCGCGCTGAGCTCAGTGCTCCCCAAGCTTCGGGATGCAGGCAGCTCTCCGCAAGCCGCAGGAGAGCTGCGCGACTTAGTGCCAGGCTCCCACGGCTTGCGGAGAGCTTCCTGAAGCCTGGAGAGCGAGAGGGGTCGGTGCGCACCGACCCCTCTCGCTCTCCAGTCTTCAACAAAAGCCTGCATTCGCCCCATAGGACGCACACACATTTCCCCTTCATTTTTGGAGGGGAAAAAGTGTGTCCTATAGGGCGAAAAATACAGTATATGCTTATTTCCCATGAAGAACATTCCCACGACACACAGCAAATTGCTGCTCCTTTGTTGCAATTTCTTGTAATTCCTGTAGGGATCAGGCATTTGATTAGCATCTCCCCTCTCATGAAATAAAACAGAAGAATCTTCTCTTGAGGAAGAAGAAAACCCATTGTTTTCATAAAAGAGAGAAGTAAAAAAAAATATATCAGCAAAGCTTCAGAATATTTGACCAGTCCAGGTGCATTTGTGCAGGATATGCTTCTACTTACTTAAAACAAGAGCTTTAGTTTACTATTCACTAATCCTCAATAATAAAGACTGAAAGTTTCAGATTCTAGAATCATTCATCGGTTACCTGCTTTGGCTGACCCAAAGTAAAATGGTTTGTTTGAATGTTTCACTTCAATAATCTTTATTTTTTACCTGCCTCAGTTGTCATTTCTGACAGTACAGAAATCCAGATAGTGCTAGCTGGCTTCTGCAATAATCCATGTGAACATTTGGTTGATGGTCAAAAGAGATTTTTGTGCATTTCAAGGAGAACTGAAGAGATCAGCAAAACCATGTAAGGGTATATAGCCACGAATGTCAGGTTTTGTCAGTTTACAAGTGGAAACAAAGGCTGAGGAACCTTTGAATCACTGATGCTGAATAGTTTGCCAGAGCACTTCAAATGAGAAGTTAGATAGGGGAATTAATGTTGACTGGTTCACCAGTGGAAATAAAAGTTTTTGCACACCAAAAGCATAGAAATGAAATGGACATTCTAAACTAAACATTCTAAACATTTTAAACTAGAAAGATTCCCAATTGTTTTGCCCTTGTACTATTTGAAATTGCTTCCTTTTTTTCATATTACAGACACACTTTCATAATTGCTTTGCTTTTGTCTTTGCCTCTTTTCCATTTCCATCTTCATTTAGCCCGTTACATGAAGTGTTTTTATTTAAGCCTTTTCTCAACTTTTTGCAGTTCCTCAATTACGCAGACAAGCCTAGACCTGTACAGTTTTTAATGCACGTATCATCTGTTCAAAAATTCTACTGAGTGTGCATCAAGCAGGATAAACTTGTCACTAGGACCCCCATCCTATATGGCAGGATTGCCAACATGGAAACAGTGGGCCCACCATACCTTTTATGCTGCCCACAAAAGGTCTCAGCAATATCTCCATAAAAATCC